TTACTATCTTTACTAAGAATAAACTTATCAATAAGAAAGAAAAGAATAAAAAGATTTTAGTTTGATAAGATACTGATAATGTTTTTATTACTATGTACTGAGTTATGTATGTAAGCGGTGGAATGTAGTAATTGTCGACTCTCCCACTAAATGACAAGGATTCTTAGTAACATGAATTCAAAAAGCACAATACATTCCTAGTACATGTAATCTGTTGTGCTTATAGAGTGTTGAGCATAAAATCTTGGGTGTGAGTTACATCTCAAATCAGGCGAGGTCTTACCAGACATTTCCAATCCATCATCATCTAATCTGTATGCCAAAATGCTAACTAAGCGGCTTATACAAATACACCCAATCTACTCAACATATTTTTTTTTCATTGTAGGTTTGTATGTAGGGGGTAATCTTTGGAACCGCTCGTCGGATTGCCAAAATTCTTTCACTGATAGATAGCTACAATGTTCCTGTGTGCTATAGGCTATAAAACATCACGCTACGATCAAATGGATCTGAGCAGCAGGTGAAGCCGCGCGAGAGCAGCTAGTAGTTTATATATTGCTTATTTAGTTTATCACTATGGTTCTGTATCTGAATGTGTCACATCCGGAGATAATGCCGTTTATGGATGCTTAGTGTAGCAGTTTGTAGGACATGGCTTTAAAACACTTAATGTTAAACTTTATACATATAAGAGTAATTTAAACATTGTTTGATATGAAATGCGAATTCCACGACAACTTATTGCCGACAAATTGCGTTGCTAATTGGCAGATTGTTGTGAATGAAATGTATTTAAAATATATATCTATTCTGACTATATTCTGATTATTTAATGAGTATAAATGTGGATGGATGGAGAGGGAGACCAAAGAAAATATGGATGGATTGTGTGAGAAATGATATGGAAGACAGAGGAGTTAGTGATAATGTGACGGGTGACAGGACGGAATGGAAGAAAAAAACATATAGCGTTGACCCCAAATAAAACGGGACAAGTGCAGGTAGATGATGATCTATACTGCCTATTTCAAAATACACTAGTCTAATTTTGTAAAAGGTAAATGAAGTAGATTTTATTGCAGTATTACCAATCATAGATATGTTTAGCGCCATTTAACTATATCTATTTATGTATCTAATCATTACATTCACAAAATAAATCTACTTATCAATGACATTATCAGTATATTTATTGTTTCCTTGTTTATATGTGAAAACTAATCTACAGTTTGTGCGGGAACTTTATCACTTCAACCGAATAGCAGACTGTTTGAAACAAGTGATAAGATTCAGCAAGCACTTCTTTATGTCTAGCAAGATTACTGTCTAGATATAAACTTAGGTACACTTTATCTTAGTACAAAGGCTTTTTCGATCACAAAATAAATCCTATCTCCAAGTTTTTTTATGGAATAACTCGCCAAACATGCAGACTTATTATGTGCATACCATATGCAATTGGCGGACACCCTCAACACCAAAGGAGTGACGAATGCGTTTTCGACCTATTGGAGATAAGGGTTGCGGATATTTAAGGATTAGGAAGGGGTAGGGGAGGGTAGGAATTGGGCCTAGTAACCTCACTCACACAGTGAAACACAATGTTGTGGTTGTTTCACGCCGGTTTTCTGTGAGGCATTGGTATCACTTCAGTCAAGCCAACCCATTTGTGCAGTAGCATTGCTCTCCCACACTAATTAACTTAAAGAAATTGTTAAAACCTATATGTACTACTTTTATTGTTAGTGGAGTGGATTTAGTGTTAAATCAATTTCAACTATGAACACATCATGTATTTTCAGTTTTATTTCAGAAATTCTATTCTTTTTAATACCTATAATTCATTCACTATCAGATATCAAGTACCTATCTAGTTTTAATTAGGTCTGTGTAGCTTTTATTACAATATGCACATTTGCACAATTTATGGTAAAGTAAATAAAGTAAGTAAAGAAAATATATTTTAGTATGACTTGTTTAATTATTTATAATTCTTGGTTTTCCCTTTCATCCCAGAGACAAGAGTAAATTGAAATAGAATTTTAAACATTGATTTGACAAGTTATGCTTCTTCCTTTTTTGATATATTTGTTTATATTATGTATAATATGGTTGCACCAATGACTTGGGGTCACTAGTGGGGAAGATCATCAAATAACTTCTCTTGTGAGTGAGACTTGAGGCAGTGTCAATGTCCTGCTTACTTAAACCACCTCTCCCTTTTTCTGTTCCATCCCGGAGCTGTTCATGCAACTCCAGCTGAACAAACTACGCCTTCACTAATATGCAAGTCCATTGTTTCCAACCATTCACCATTTTCAAGTTGAACATTCACAATGAACATTGTACCCAAATATAACAGCAGTGACTTATCAATTGTCAATTGAACAGGATTACAGAATAATAATATAACAAATATTATCAAGTTATCAATGAAAAATGAAGTCTGTTGTCAGGCACATACTTCACTAAGAGAATGTTGTTGATGAATTATTCTTATCTATACAATATGTTAAATATTAATTATTTAAATAATTCATTATATTTGTTTTTAAAGATATCACAAATTGTAGATGTCAATTGTGATAAGCACCATATATATTAACATTCCATTGGTATAGATCTCAATATAATTACATCTTACACTCTTTTGTGACTATAAACAAGTGATGAGTTTAACCCTTCAGCCATGGTAATTCAAGACACAATAGTAAGACAAGATGCACCCATTTGCACAGTGTTTAATGAATTAATATTCAAAATAAAATATAACATTTAAGCTAAATGGTTAACAAAAACAACCAACCTCGGGTGCCATCCACGCAGCACTGCCTTTGTTATTCGTCATGTAAGTAGCTTTGTCTGCAGCCGTTCCAAAGTCACAGATCTTTAGCCTTTGCCCTCCTCCCACCAACAATAAATTGGGCGGTTTTAAATCCCTGTGTATCAATGGCTTTGGTTTCATTGCATGAAGGTATGCTACACCCTGGAAATTCACAATGGATCATCATTTTAATGTGTTTACACTCAACACATTGACAGTTCGCTTGTCCAGATAGGTAAATACATTGAATTTAATGAAGTCATTCATAATAACTGTCAAAAACTATTAGAACATGGACAAGAACTGTGTTTTTAAAAAATAAGCAAACATTAAAGGTGAGAATAGATAGATTTAGTTTACAAAGCTAGAGTATAATCAAATTGTAACCTCGGCACATTGTCGAGCCCAGCTCATTGCATGAGCTGCGGTGTATTTAGGTTTGGGGCGGTTGTGCAGTACATTGTATAAGGAGCCACCCTCCGCGTATTCCATGACTAGACAGACGTGGGCGCCCTTCGTGCACGCTCCATACAACCGGACGATGTTCGGGTGTGACACACGAGACAACTGACGCACTTCTATTGAAAATTCCCGCTTCTCAGCCTCAGAGTTAATGTGTTTTACTGCTACTAGTGTGTTTCTCCACAAACCTTTCCATACTACGCCAAACGCCCCTTTGCCCACCACCTGGCGACACAAATTTAACTCTTATAGTCCGAATTATCATTCTAGAGCTTACTAAATTCCAAATTACATCCCAATATTTACCGATAACTCCTGAATTTCATTGTAATCTATCTCCTCCACAAATGTCTGCTGAACAGGTGAGTCTTGCACATTGGAAGCCATGGGTACACTTAATATCACATTATCAAAATGACTAGCACGTTAATATAACGTTATTTATTAAGATCTACCTAATTTTCTTTATAAAAATGTAAAAATAGTTGGTTATCTCAATTTTCTCAGTATTGTTTGGCAGAGAAAAGCAACTGCGACAAGGCAGCCATCTTTGAAACTGTAGAACAAATGTCACACCGTGATAGTGGGGCATCATTCCGATTAACGAAAAACCGTAAATGTGATTGTTTACGTCCCAGTTTTTTACAAAACCTTTTTTTTAACACGACTTATTAGTCGATATAAAGGTGCTAAGGTTTTAGTAAGCTTCCAACAGTAAAACATAAAGAATAAAATACTAGACCTAATGTTTTTTTTTTTGTAATTGCACTTTTTCTAACGGGAAATGTTATAAAGTAAGTTTAAGGCTTAAGGTGGGTCGAGAGAAATTGTCAGATTCTTACGGAATAAAAACGGATACGGGGTGGCAGTTTATTCTCTGGTTCCGGCCTAAGCCACCGAATGTGAATGTCCCGCATTGCATGCACCCGCATCCTTGGCTGGACATCAGCCCTTTTGGGCCCGTGTTCTTATGAGTTTCGCGCCTCAGCGCACAAAATATGTACGCAAGCGCTTTCGCCAGATCTCATGGAAAGTAGTGACTTACTTCCCCTGAGATCGTTTAAGCCCGTGACCCTCTGGGACACGACGCACAGCGCAACGCAGCAGCTGGTCACCACCTAAAAATTGGCATCCACACAGAGGTCCAGTAGAGGGTCATGGATCGCCCGATCCCCAAATACAACCTCAGGCAAGAGTTTGTCTTAGTTTAGTACGTCGCGGACGAGATCCAAATACTTCATCGTCGACTCGACACTGATGGGAAACCCCTTGCCGTAATTTACTAAGATATATTTCCGTCCGGTCCTTTCTGTAACTACTCCTTAAAATTTGATTGTGGTTACCGGTTATCTTTAAAAATGTGCAGCGAACTTTATTGCGTTTTTTGTAATTGATAGTGATTGAAGAGGATGGGTCGTGTTTATAATAACATCCATTAAATTGTGGAGAAATTTAGTAGGTATCAGCATTGCACCCATGCGATGCCGGGGTGGATTGCTAGTTTTCAATAAATTAGGCTAGGTAAGTATATAGTATGATACCTATTCGTAGTCAACCACACCCTACTATTAAAAAATTGAGGAGTGGTTCATTTTTCTTTATTAAATTACGAGGTACAGGATTTTATCAACTAAACAAGTGGTTATTTTCATGTAATCTATACAACTACACATGGAAACCAAATAGCAATAGGACTAAATGAAAAACAACATTAAACTGCAAGAAAATCTTCAATATTGCTTGATGAAGTCGAGCATATCAAAGTCTCTTCGTCCATATCAATCATCAGACTGCTGAGCTCTTCAAATTGCTCCAAAAGACCGAATGCTTCTTTACAATTAAATGTCGCTGCGACATCTTTCGGTGTTTGATTTCGATGATTAACTGCATATAAATTGGCTCCTAAGTCCACTAAGATGTTTATAAGACGAATGTTATTGCTCATAGCTGCAAAGTGTAAAGGTTGTCGCCCACCCGGTGCATCGGGGTCATTAACTGCCGCACCTTTCTCCACGAGAAGACGTAGTATTCTTTCTTCTTCTTTGGTCGGTATACACATCATAACAAATTCTGAAAGATATAGGGTTAACATTGAAAATATGGCTTATGATAATTATGCTGTAGCCGTTATTTGTTTTCGAAACTCACGTAGGAATAAACCAGTGTCCATTGGAGTTGATCTTGGCATGAGTCTAGCGCCATGGTCGAATAGCATAGACGCCATGCGCCAAGAAGGCCTGAAAATTAATTTGAAAGCTCTCACACAGTTGTGCTATGATAATAGGTATGTAGGTATACTTAGTTTAGAACTTTTGACTTAGTAGGTTGCATGGACATCCGTCCATGGGCGGCGCCGATGGCTTACCATCAGGTGATCCGTCTGCTCGTTTGCCTCCTATTCCATAAAAAAAAAAACTAAATCTATTAGTGCTGTTATGAACTAAATGATTCACGAAATTACAATAGTTACATAATATCTATCTACGTAAGACATATATCTACGTGATAATGCAAGAAATAACAGAAGGCTTTGGTCAACTATTCATTACCTAAAGGTAGTCTGTTTACTTCAATTGGCAAAAAGGCTATGGTTGTCTATAAGTATAAATTATACCTTCTCATTAAGCACAGGGATAGCGGTGTCATGCCCAAATGGTCTTTTTTATTGACAGGCACTCCAGCCTTTAGAAGCATCAAGACCGAGTGTTGATTTCCGGAGCAAACAGCCAAGTGAAGAGCATTACGACCTACATGATCAATGCCGTTTATATTAGCTCCTCGGCTGCAAAAAAATTTATATGCACAATTATCTGGGTATTTTCAGACACATATAGAATGGATAGTAGTATTTAGAGTGCACAAAGATAGGGCTGACTAAGTTGTAAAGGTCGTAAAAACCACTGAAATCTAAAAGCATTTATTAGTATTCTTTCAGACTAAAAAAAAGAAGGAATGGAGTGCTATTCCTTCTGCTCCGATCCGGGTTCTGTCATATTATTGTGTTCGCACCCGCAACGCGACTGGACATAGGCCTTATTGGATCCTATCTATGGCGGTCTGATGGCTCTTTGAGGCGAACGCGCGGCAGGAGAACGGGCGAGCTGCCCTGCGTAAGGGGGAACACGTACGCTGCCTCTTTCTTCGTGGTAAATAAAGGTAAAGCGTGAATAAGTTATCTGAGATTAAAGTTATTTACTTTAACAGTATCCGTAACAACTTTTCATCTCCCAATTCAGCAGCTATCAAGAAATCATTGTCATTGTGCAGGAATTCAATAGCCCGTTTGTATTTATTGGTTCCTTCATTTGAAAATAATGACGAGGTTGATAAAGTGTGGGTAGATTGACTTTCAAGTTGAATAGATGTTCGCATTGATGTCGGGTACGTAGGTATGACGGAATCTAAAGATTCGTCCGAAAGCTCTGTACAGACAACATGAATTCATTAAATTAAAACAAGTCAATTTTAAAAGGTAAAAATATAATTCGGCAAACTCTTTCGGGTATCAAGGCATAGCCTAGTTTGGGGACCACTAATATTAAAATAATGTACCGGCACTCATAGTTACAATATTTTATAATGTAAGTTACTACGATAAGGACCTAATGTACCTAATTGTAACAAGTGGACTAATAAATTTATTCTTATTCTTATTCTTATTCTTATCAATAATATATCAATGATAAAAAAGGGACTTACACACCTCATCATCAGCCTATAAGTGCCCACTGCCGAGCAAACGCTTCTTCTCGAACGGATAAGCTTTGAGCAGGTATGACCAGTTTCTCAATGTTAAATTACAAATTATAAGTCCAGATTTTTCTCACGTTGTTATCCTTTACGTTTGTCAGTGCAGTGGTGTCTCATATAAGTAATAAACTCGAAAAAAGTTACATTGGTAGGTACTTGCCACGTTCCCTCGTGCATGAGAAGCGAGCGGCTTAACCTCAGGGCCATCACAACATAAGTGTACCTAGAGGTTTACTCTTAGTCAAATGGGAAGGCCAGTATACTTAAATGGTAATATTGTGCAGGCTAAGAAAAATTAAAAACGCTTAAATAAATATCAATAAAAGAAAACAAAATAATAATTAAAATTTATGTAATAATATTAATGCGATAACAAATAACTCCGTATTGCATTGACTTATGTGGCTTCCTTTAATTAAGGGCTGTGTTGTCCTCCGTTTTGTAGAAAATTGTACGATGTGACATCAGGGGTAGAAGTCAGTGGAAAAGTACTAAATTGTTCACTCTCTAATATTGTTTCCAACTTCGGTACACTTTCTAGTAGGGACGATTTCTTTTTCGTTGATATTAGCGTGCCATCGAAGTCCAAAAAGGCATCCTTGTTTCGTAAGTAAGATATTACTATGGAATCATTTTCGCAGTCGGAGTCATTCACTATTAGTTCGTTATCACTTTGAAGGTTTATGTCCATTATTTGCATTTCAACAGACGAATCGGTTCCTTTCAGCAGCGGCGGCATCAATTCACTTCGAAGATCGGTGCTGGTTGACGGTAAGTCCACAGGCTTAACTTTGTTATTCATGTATCTTGTTGGAATCTTATCTCTACCGTGAAACTCATTGTCGATAAGCAATTCCTTAGAACTTGGATCACTGATGCTGCTTGAATCCACAATGACGAACATTGGTTCACGTTCACTTTCAGGGAAATCAAGATCTTTTGGTGTAAAGTGGATGCCCGCATCATCTTCGCTGGAAAGAACACAGTAGTACTTAAAAGCGTTGAAGATGTTTCTCAATGAAACCGGTGAAACATGGTCTCCTTATTCTCTGGAACTAAGGAAAGTTTGTGTAGAAAGCTCGGTCGTTGACGTAACACAAGAGTAATTGAACAACTTGTACCTGCTGAGCGTGACCGCGTGCGACTCTCGTTCCGCGCGGAGCCTGCTTTGCACTTGCATTAGATTCACGATATGAGCCGGTAGGATCTCGCGGTTGGGATACCAATACGTGATGAAAGTTGTGTATAGGTCATTTATTAATCGGAGGGTGCACATTTTAAGGTAATTAAAGAACCAAAAGCGTGATGCATACGTCGGCTGCGCGAGCTCCAGGGTCGGTTCTCCATCCTGCAGTCGTTGGCTTTCAGTGGGTGTAACTGCGTCGTTGTATGTCACTCCTGCCGTACTCTTTGTAATACTTATTCTATTTTGGATGTTTTTATTCATATTAATTTTATTATTATTTTTTTTTCTTTATCCTTAAATTACATTTACGTTTTATTTTTTATTTTTTCTAAATTATCTTTTATTGAATCAATAATGACAAATGTCCATAACACTGACATTGAGTTGCGTAAGCCAGCATTTTGAAAAAGTTTATACCTAACTAGGGATTGCAGTAAGGTTTTACTAAAAATGAAACACCAATTTAAGATAATACTATTTTATTTAATACAGCAAGTTTACATTTACATATATATTAACTAATACTAATTCAATGTAGAGTACATTAATAAAATGTGAAGTTTTACTTCACCGTAAACTATGAATGTTCAATGAAACTAACAACTATTTGGTAAAACTTGGTTACATTTCATAAATTATAAGTAACAGATATGCTGAAAACCGAGGTACTCCAAGAAGAACATAGGAACAATCCACAAACTTTACATAAATGACACCTCTTAGCAGAAGTTACCAAATCAAAAATATAAAAATAAATGTAACAATTTTAGTAATTAATAGTAGCGAATTTCATAATTGGTATACTACTTAGGCCTTAAAATTGTAATTTATGTAAAATAAGAAAATATTAAACATTCTGACACTGTAATATACTATTCCTATCACTAAGGTTTGTTAGGTATCCGCTACAAACTGCGAATTAAATGCACGACAATCTCCCACTCCAAATCAAAACCCGCTCTGGCGTCCATCCGACAACAAGCCTGGCCACGACTCTATGTGCTGGTTCGCTTAATGTTCCGTTCTGGCTGATTGTTCAAAGACCTGACCGTTAAAGGAATCACAGGTTGTTGAGAATGGACACCGCTTTCAAACAACGCTTTACAGTATCAGTCGCCGATATACAGGAATGTCTTGTTCTTGTACCCGCGGAGCTGAGCGTAGCAGCTCGGCGAGAGTGTACAGGTCGTCGCGGGGTCTGTAACTGTTTTGGTGGTTCATCATGCTGTCCGACCGTTTCCTGGCGACCATGAATCGCTTCATCTTGTTAGCATATTGCCTCTTGCGACGAGCCTCCTCATACCGTTGCGCTAACTCTGCCGGGCCAACTTGGTACATGTCGGGATAACCATGGGCGAGGGCCATGCGGTTCTGTTCAGAGAAGTATGAGTGGCGAGGGTAATCTCGTTCACGTGGTGAGATGACAACAGGTTCGCTGTACCAGATGTCTCCATTCTCATCTACCTCGGGCTGTTCGTCCTCGGGGTTTACATGTCCAACTCCGTAATAGCGTTCAGGAACCCATTGGTTCTGAGCGTTCCATTCTTGTTTCTTGCGTTCCTGTGCCTCCCACAAGTTGAGCAGAGCTCGGACATCGGCTGCGCTTAGACCAGAGTCTCGTTTGCGACGTTCTGAGGTAGGCCTAAACGTAAATGAAATTATTTAGTAACGATAATATTGTGGTGACTTACATACTTACACCTATTCAAGGATGGAGGTTTATGTTGACCTGAAGTTCTTTTTATTTCCACCGGAATTTTTGGTGGCTGTTTTGGCAGAGGCGGCCGCTCCGCCCACCTTTGTGCCACTGCCGCGCTTGCGGCGGTGTGCGTCGTGTTCGTGAGTCATCGAATCCACGGGCGAGAGAGCATCGTGCTCCTCCGGTCTAAAAAATAGAATACTGTAAGTCTAGTGATCTTATAATAGCAAATGCAATTGGTGTTGGCCGGATGACTAAAGCACTCACTTCAGATTTTTCTTGCCCGAGCCAGATTTGGTGGCTACTTTAGTAGCGGCCCCCGCGCCGCCGACTTTAGTTCCACTTCCTCGTTTGCGGCGGCGTGAGTCGTAGCTGGTCGCCAAACCTTCCATTGCTGGGGGCTCACCATACAATTCCGGCCTCATGATCAAGTTATCGAGCTCCCCGTTGGGCTGCGGGGAATCGAATCTCTGATCTACGCTCTGTTCGAATCCTTCGGAATTTCCTGCGAAACAAGGTAGCGCGATTGAAATTAAGTTCGGAGTTACAAACATAAAAATTTTGTCTTGAAATTAATTAGATTTATTATGTTATTTATGTTGTTGTTAGAAACCTACTTTGAGTTGTAATATAATAGGTATGTAGCTAAGTAGTTTGAAAGTACCTACTAGAGACGTTGAACCCACAAAGTGAGGTAAGTGTACAAGTGGCTTCACTATCTACATATTTGCAATTCCAGATTAAGGTTAATGATTAGTTAACTTTTGTATAGATTCTTGCGCCTATAACTCTATTCTTGTCCACTTAAACTGCATCAGGCAATAAAGGATGATCATAGTCGGTGGGCTTGCAACCTGCGCGTTCGTACTGCGCTATTGTAGTATACAATTTCACAATCAGTGCGTTATTATTGTATTGCACATTGTCAATGTCCTGTTAAGTCCTAGCAATTGGCTGTTTATATACCTACGAAATATTTGCTGATTTAAATGAATTACTTAAATATTGTTTACCAACTTGAAATGTTACGTAAAAAATCGACATAAATAGGTTTTTGTGACGTCTGATTGACTCCGAAAATAAAATAAGAGATTACGGTGGACAATTTGTGCAAAAATAAAGTTGAAGCAAAGAAACTGGCGAACACACGAATAGCTTGGATCAAAACCCTTTTAATATATACATAGAGGTACAATATAAAGCATCAAGTCTTCAGGGACCGTTGACATTACCTTCCTCGCTTAGAGCCAACGGGTAAGGCTCCAAGTCATTTTTATCGCTCTTATTCAGGAAAAGCGATTGAGTGTCGTCTTTTGTCTGGTCCCAATTCTCGGGAAGCTCACCAATTGGGCCGCCATCATCTAAAATGTTATTTACATTGATAGTGTGCCTCAAAATATGTCCAACACATTGTGCGTGCCTACTAGTTAGGTAGCGAATGTACCCCCAATTATGTAACTCGCTGTACCTAGTTTTCGGTAAAAAGTTCTAATTGACGACAATTTTCTTGTTCAGTGTGTTTTAAAACTACATCCACATGATGGAATTTACTATACATTCCCTACATACATACCTATACTTAAGTATATGAATTACAGACACTGTAAGAGTAAGGGGGCGCCTAGAATCATTCTTACAAAAAGCTATGTGTGTTTTATTCATGAGGTAGCAACCTACCTACCTAATTTTTTAAATGGATGCGAGTGCTAAGCTTAAATATTCTGAGTTCCTTTAGATAGTGTGGCTAACAGGAATTTAGGTACAATGAAAAGCTAAGTCAAGTGGAAAGTTTTTACCTTTTTATCGTGACGATAGATGATGATGCCTGTGCTGTCGATAAAAGTTTTGTGGAACGATAAGAAACTACTACACCTAGTTTAGTATGAGAAGAGCGCTACCTATGTACCTACTTACTTATGAAACAAACACCTACCTGCAGACAGGTAGGTATTATTTGTGAATTAATCAATACTATACCTTGAGGTTTTTAGAAATGGACAAAGAGACCTACTTTTGTGTTTAGGTCTTATTTATTTTTTAGACTGCCTTGTTAGCGGCAATATTGTAGATATTCAAGACGACGTATGACGTCTATGAGGTACGAGGTGTGTGTCCCGGGTCAGACAATGTTGCATGTTTCGATTTTATATACAGTAAGGGAATTTCGTGTCGTGGTGGAGGAGGTTATGGCCGCTTCTCATATTTAAGGGTGCGGTTTCGAAACCTGGCATGTAAATTAATGAGACATCACAGACATAAGGTGAGGAAAAACATCGTGAGGAAATATTTTTTATCAGGGTAAAATTATCAAATGGCTTGTCCTGCCCAAGGTAATGCGAGAGGGAGTGGCAGACTCTTACTTACTAAAAACCCCACGTTCCTTCTGCTACTATAGGCCGAGGCTGCGGTGCCTCATTGCGCATACCCCGAAAGAACCCTGGCTGAGCATCAGCCTATAGGGCCCCGTCTGTGGTGGTCTATTGGCATCGTGAGGTTATAACTTTGAAATCGCCAATCCACCCTGAGTAAACGTGGCTATTAAGGCTCAAAACTTCTCCGTGTTCGAAGAGGCCTTTGCTCAGCAGAGGGCCCTTAGTATACCTAAGGGCCCTCTGCTGAGCAAAGGGCTGATGATGTGAGGGTGGGGTCAACAAGGAATGATGCTCGGATTATTTGCTTATGAAGCGCATTTAATTAGCAGTCCGTCTTGGACTAGGGCTCTGAATGGAGTGGTTTTTAGTCAGTAAGAGTCAGACGGTCCTTCACGCCTCACTCAAGGGAGGGGAGAGATATAAAAAACTTTTTCCAAAATGATGGTGTTTTCATTTCTTTGTTAAGAAAAGTGAACTTTGGTAATATGAGGTGTGGTGGTTATGCCATAGAATGTAGGTAGTAGGTATGTATGACGCTATAAGTTTTTTAGTAGGGTGGATGATGACATTTTCATATTCACCGTCTTCCTAAATTTATAGTTAGGTAGGTAATATTTCTTGGCAGATTGGTATGGCCAAGAAATTACCTAAATGGATTTGACTGACGAGAGTTTTGGCTCGAGACCAAGGATTTTAGACGGATCAATCCCATCCCTAAAATCTTCAGTAACCCTACTAAACCTACAAGCCTTTAAGTACTTAGTTCTCTTTCTAACTTTGTAAAAATATCTAAAAATTTCTCATATAAGTAAATCCCTTAAAAAAATCTGACAAATAAAGACGAAACAGCCCCGGGCTTTGACCTTGAATATTTATAAGCAATTTGTTGACCGAATGAAGACATCAAAATAACAACGCCCACATCAATCTCCCTTACACTGTGACGCGCATTCTTTGGAATCCCTATTAATGGATTACTTCAATCGATGAAAGCTCCTATTTATAATCTATTATGTCCCAAAGGTCATAGTTTATGGAGAAAATATGGAACTACGTCGCAGAACAACATCGGCGCAGAAAGGACACCTGTTGACCTGTTGCTATATATAGATAGAACGCTCCCGGCCGCGGCTGATCGATACTCTCACCAAAACAATACAAACGATCCGACATGATACCGATATCCTGCGCAGAGATAAGCAAACCAGACATCAGCTAAAAACTTTGATAAGCCGTTGAAAAGTAAAGAGTTACGTACCTTTATTTGTTGGCGTAGGCACCGCACCTCCCATCAGAAAAACCGCAAAAAATGCGGCTAAATTAAATAATAACATCGTTGCCGAATCTCAGTATGCAAGGATAATTAATGTAGAATTATTATGAAAATGAGGAGGAACACTGGTTGCGACTGTTATGTGACCGAGCGCAGGGAGCGAGTGGCGTTTAGCAGAGCTCAAGCTGGAGAGAAAACCCATTGCTCCTGTCGATAAATTCGCGACATGCGCAGTGTGGGGCACAGGGACGTACTTATAAAGTATATACACCCACACAATCTGTTGTTGTTTATTTTTAATATTATGTAGCCTTTTTGTCGTTAACTAATTGATTACACTTGTATTTGACATATTTATAGTTATACTACTTAGACATGCAGATACGCAATCCTTAACATCTTATCTAACTTATTGTTATAGAAGATATCTTAACTGCTGTAATAACTTTAAGGGCAAATTCTTTTAATTTAAACTTGTTGATTCATCGTGGTGCCAATGTTCGCTAACGGAGATGGAATACGAACAGTACGCGCATCACACAGGTATCTACTCTGGGCGTTTAGTCTTAGATAATGTATTTTGTTTCATCAGCGGTGGTTGATTATATGGACCTAGTGAGATCTAGACCTAAAACCTTGCGTCTAGGCATTTTTGCCACACCACAAACCAGTGTAAAAGCTCACATGTTGGAGCCACATAATTTTTAGCCATGATCATAATTATGAGATCCATTTCCGAGGTGCATGACGACTGGGAACTACTTTCAGAAATCAGAAATCAGAAATCAGAAATTTATTTGCTAGAAACATGGTATGGTATTACAAGATGTTACAGTAGGTATGTGTTTCACATGTCTCGCCGTTTAACCGGCATGCAAATATTATTATGACAATTATCATAATGTGGAATTACAATTAAAAAAATTTAACAAAGTCTCTAAGCATATTTGACAAACCAAATTATATAATATAAATAAATGCGATAACAAAAAAAATTACAAATAACTTTAGGTACCTATATGATTAGTTTTCGGTGATTTGGTTGCGGGGTTCAAGACAGTGGTTCATGCTCCTAAAACGCGCTGGATTTCAGTGTTTGGGTGTCATCATTGTTGCATATCTATACATATACTGCAGATCCTGGCTTACCAGACCAGACCAAAACTGTATCTTTATTGCAGGAGTTTTGGGGCCTTGTGCCGGGGTTTTCACATTGCAAGGCAAATGTAAAGGTATAAGGTAAGGTATATAAATGGAAGTACCTAGTAGGCTGTTATTATATGGTGTAGGTAAGATCACCTATATTTAGATGTAGGTACTCAACTCCAACAGGGTTAGTAACTTGGCTATGCCACAATAAAGTTTAAAATTATAATAATTTCTACAAAAAATAAGCACTTTAGGTCTCCGCTGCTCAGTCCGCCCCTGCCTTACCTAGGTCTGACGTCCGCACGGCAGAGCTAAATAAGCCCTTCATAAAATAATATTATCGCGATGATGAGTCCCGACGGTATAGGCGTCAGTACATATTAATTACATTACATTAAACATGTTCATGCTTTTTACACTCGCTTGAGATCACTGAATTAAGATTGTATCCAAGTCCGTGCCTCTAGTAGTGAGATTGAGCGCACTTCCCTTGATTGTAGTTCAATTGTGTTTTGAGTACCTAGGTATGAGGTATTGGTGCGAGGCATCATCTCAAATAGGATAGAAGATGATACATTGTTTGGACATACACATATGAATGCAGTCGTCTTTATGCTTAGGTATTTATATGTAGATATAATGTTATACAATCGGCGTTATCTTACTAATATACTTATGTACCTACGTTTATCAAACTCCAAAAGCTTGTTTATCGATTGTTATATAAGTATCTTCTTACATCTTATATCACGAGCCTATGTTTTTGAGGTTCGAGCCTTCTGACGTACGTTGGGTAACCAGGTATCTACCAGGTGGGTATCATACTGTTCCAAACACACTTTGAGCTTACCTTCTACTAACAGTACGAGAGATTATACGAAATTCGATTCATTGATTCCTATTAACCTTTCTTTCATTGTATTGACGGTAGGATGAACATGAGATCAAGCTTACACTTTGTGCCACTGAACAAAAACGTTAGTAGCCCCAAGTAAGCAGTAATTTCTTCCAAAAAGCAAAAAATATAAAACGTAGTACCTACGTTCCTCCACAAATGTAGGTAGGTCGCTACATTCGCAGATGGCGGTACTTACAAACTTCAACAATAGCGGCTGAAGGTGCACAATGGTCGCGTAACGAGGCCCATCTTCTTGTTAAACACACAAAGGCAAGCCAATGGAACGTTCCCGATTATGACGAGACCACGTCCTGTAAATAGACGTAGTCCGTATAGCTAAGAATTACCTACCTTCCATTTTAAACTTTGACATGGTTTATGATTTCCTTTGATGTAATTCTAATGTTTATAAAATTGCCATATTTACAATATCAGACAAATTAATTTGTATAAGTTGTTTTGTGTGTGGGATGTGAGTAATACATAGGTAGGTTACCTACTGGCACCTTGCTCTATCAATTGTCATGTCGGGTAAATTACCTATAATTGAGATCTTCAAATTTTATAGTGGACTCGGTACTCCTAACCAGCTGGTAGCTAAGTACTAGTGGTCACTGGCACCGGGGTTGTAGTGAGGTACCTAATAGGCAATTTTTAGTCCTTCTACTAAAAAAGCTAAACGCCTTTTGAAGTATACCCCGTTACAAAAAAAGTGTATATAATTGAAAGTTCAGGTTTAGGCATAATGCTGATTGAATAATGATAAGTAGTTGTTGGTGACTTTTAGAGACTGGATTCGCACGCTTCGGCAGGGCTCGGCTGGAGTGGTCCGTTATCACTTTTTTTAAGTCCTACAGAAGTGTTGGAGATATAAAATTTTGACTGCATTCCTTCTTCTTTTCCTTGCCAGTGCCGCGGGTGCCGCTGCAAATTATTGCTTGCCCTGCAAAGTGCGTTCCAACTTGGGAGGCAAACATCGGAAGTGTTCTGTGAAGTGTCCACCAGCTGTGGGAGAGACAGGCTTTGGCACGGATGGGTCGACTCGATCGGAGTGATTCCACGGCATTACAGAAATTAATCACAGCGTTGTGTTTCGCCGTGTGAGTGAGGTTACCGGAGGCCCAATACCTCACCCGCTCCCGATGTTCAGCCGGGGTTGCGGGGTAAGCGCAACGAGGCACCGCGACCTCGGCACAGAGCAGGAGAAGGAACAGGGGGGTTTTTAGTCAGTAAGAGTCTGACACTCCCTCCTGCCCGGCCCTGGGCGGGAGAAGTCATTTGATGATTTTCCCCTCACAAAAAAAACCCGCTCCCGATCCCTTCCAAATCTTTAAATATCCGTAGCCCTTGTCCCCAAATGACCTGCAACGTACTCGTAACTTCTTTGGTGTTGCGGGTATCCATGGGCGGCGCCGATTACGGACCATTAGAATATCCGTCTGTTCGTTTGCCGACCTAGGTAGGTATCTACCTTGTTCATAGTAGCCCCTCCTGCCATAATTCGTGATCCAACCGGAGGTGGTGCGTTCTGACGACCATGAAAATAATGATCATCGCTTTAGACTTGTGAAACAATGATTTAACGCAAGCATTGCTAAACCATGAGAGATTAATATGGACCGCTTTCTTTAAAAGCTGGTAACGCATATATCTACAACTCTTTTGATGTCTAATGGTGCAAGTAATCGCGTATCCGGGCGCCAATTGCTTGCCAAAAAAGGATTTACTTTCATTTCACAAAAACCCAAAAACTTACGTTTGACGGAAGCCTATAGATAGGTAATTATGTAAAGTTTTTTAAATTATGGATCAGGGAGAGTATTTTAACCACAAATAGGTATGATGAGAATGCTCCGAGTTGCTAAGCTGTCAGAAGTTACACGTGTTATTTGGGTCAACCATAAAAGATAGCTATAGGTATGCAGTTATGATTTTTTTTAGGTAATTTTATTTACTTAGAACATTTCCGTATGGAGCAGGATAAAACATGGAGTAACTTCTCCTGTTTTCACAACACTTACCTACCTATACTACTCTGCTCCTGTTAATTGTAGCGTGATGCAAAGTGCATAGGTAACCTGCCCAGGAATATGAAGATAATACTGTAGTTTTCAACTAGTCAAATTCAATACTTTTATCCAAATGTCAAAAACGGTAATTTTCTATGAAATTTGTATGAAAAACTGAGTTATGACGTCATAATATTTTTGCGTCAAATAGCTTACTTTTTTCTTAATAATTAGCTGCAAAATATCTTAAACTTAGTGTATCGATCGATGAATAAAAGTAAAATTATTTTTCAATATTTTATTGTATTGAAACGTCGAATTCTTTTATTTATGACCAAGGAAACTACCCAATTGTGCCAAGTTTCGTTAAAATCTGTAGAGTAAGTAGGTAGTTTTGTTTCTATAAGTAACATATAGACAGACACAAAAATTTTACAGATTGTATTTTTGGCATCAGTACCTATCGATTACTAATCACCCCCTGATATTTATTTTGAAAATATATTTAATGTACAGAATTGACCTGTACATTAAATATATTTTCAAAAGACGAGCGGACGGATTACCTGATGGTAAGCAATCAGCACCGCCCATGGGCACCCGCAACAACAGAGGAGTTACGAGTGCTTGCAGACCTTTTGGGGATTCGGGATTGGAGATTTAGGGATTGGGGGAAGGGAAAGGATTGGGCCTCCGGAGACCTCACACACACGGCGAAACACAACGCTGTGGTTATATCTCGCCAGTTTTCTGTGAGGCCGTGGTATAACTCCGGTCAACTCCGGTCGAGCCGAGCCCATTCGTACTGAAGCATGGGTCTCCCACACTTAAAATAGGTAATATAGATAGATCTGTACGTACTATATAATATTATATAGAGGTAAAATTTGTATTTGTAAGTTTGTATGTAGGGGGTAATCTTTGGAACCGCTGGTCGGATTGCCAAAATTTTTTCTCTGATAGATAGCTACAATGGTCCTGAGTGTTAGTGTTATAGGCTAAAACAAAAAATTGAGCTGAGAAGCGTGTGAAACCGGGCGAAAGTAGCTAGTTATACATAAAAATAATTGTTCAATTCAAACCAGGACTGCCGGAGATACTTAGTATCTATTGATTGCCCCGTCGACAAAGTGGCTGTAAGTGTGACTGCCGAGGAAATGGACCCGGGTACGATTCCTGCAAAGAACAAGTCTAATAATGGAATAGTTTGAAAAAAATACTCGGTTAGGTATTATATCAGTCTGGATTTGTTTTCCGTTTATGGCAACAGGCTCACAACATCAGACTCACACAGACACAGAAGTCCCAAGATACAAATTAAACTTGATGTTACATTGTATGTATACATAGTCTGGCCATAAATACTGTTACATTAAAAAATAAACAAAATATTACATTTGAATTTGGAATCTGTCAATTTTATATAATTTTTCATTGTGTTTTCTTATTTTGGCGCCAATAAATTGTTCAATATTTTGCGATATTAAAATGGAGTGGGGTGATAAAGAGAACCGAATCGCTGTGATTGCATTACACAAAGTGGGTATGGAGCCAAATGCAATTTTCAAAACTCTCCACACGCTTGGCATTAGTCAAATATTTGTGTACCGGGTTATTAATAGGTACACTGAGACCTCCTCTGTTTGTGACAGAAAAGATCTGGCCATCCACGTAGTGTTCGTACGAAAAAGGTGGTCAAAGCAGTAAGGGAAAGAATTCGAAGAAATCCTGTCCGAAAGCAAAAGATTTTGTCTCGGGAGATGAAGATAGCACCTAGAATCATGTCGTGTATTTTAAAAGACGACTTAGGACTTGCAGCCTATAAGAGACGCACTGGACATTTTTTAAATGATAATTTAAAAAAGAATAGGGTGATAAAATCTAAACAACTACTGAAGCGGTACGCATAGGGAGGTCACAGAAAAAATTTGTTTACGGATGAGATTTTTTTTCACAATTGAGCAACATTTTAACAAACAAAATGACCGTATTTGTGCTCAAAGCTCTAAGGAAGCTTCTTAATTAGTCGACAGAGTGCAACGTGGGCATTATCCGACTTCAGTGATGGTTTGGTGGGGTGTTAGCTAGGAAGGAGTGACTGAGCCATACTTTTGCGAAAAAGGTATCAAAACATCGGCACAAGTGTATCAAAATACCATTCTTGAGAAGGTAGTTAAGCCCCTTAACAACACCATGTTCAATAACCAACAATGGTCCTTCCAGCAAGACTCGGCGCCGGGTCCATAAAGCTCGGTCCACGCAGTCTTGGTTGGAAACGAACGTTTCCGACTTCATCAGAGCTGAAGACTGGCCGTCGTCTTGTCCCGATCTTAATCCGCTGGATGGTTTATGGTCAGTTTTAGAGAGTAGGGCTTGCTCTAAACGTCATGATAATTTGGACTTCCTAAAACAATCCATACCTACGATTGGCAGTGCAGAATTTTCCCATGGAAAGAGTGCGTGCTTCTATTGATAACTGGCCTCAACGTTTAAAGGACTGTATTGCAGCCAATGGAGACCACTTCGAATAAGCTTTTTATGTTTTAAATTGTTTCATATTTATGTATGAAACTTATACTGTAAAAGTAATAAATGTTATTTGCAATAGAAAAAATATTTTTTTTATTTGTTACAGTATTTATGGCTAGACTAGGTATGTATACTCACCTGACTACCCTATGGTTGATTAAAAACGTGGCGTGGCCGCTAAATGAAACCTTTTTTTTGAGAGGTGAAAATCACCACATGCCTTCTCTCGGCATGGATCCTAGGATGAGGTGGGAAGGATTGTCAGACTTACTGACTAAAAACACCCCCGTTCCTTTTCCTGCTCTAGAGGCCGAGGCCTTACCTAAACATCGGTTCTGTTGGGTTACATCTAAATGTAAACTCAGTCAGTTGAGTCTGATAGACTAGTTTATTTATATTATTGCCTTATATTCATATTAATTCATACATACATAATTAGATAAATACATACGGTAGGTGGGTTTTTTGGAATTTAACTTCGAAATAAATAGAAAACAATTATTAGTGCATTGAACACCTTTAATGTTATATAAAAATATTCATACATAAATATGTAACAATTACCTACAATCTGATTACTATCCTGGATGTGAATACCTTAGTATTCCTAGATAAAATTTAAGATTAATATTTAAAACTAGATCATAGGCTCTACAGGACAGACAGTAACATCCATTGTAATTAAGGTAAAAAGAAATTGTGACATCATGGTATTAAAGAAAAAAATATGTACATGTAACAATAAAATCAAAATGCAACATAATGAGAATCATTACACATAAGAAAACATTGAAAATGCACTCCAGACAATTTATACAGTATACATGCAATGAACATAAGTGTTATCAATTATGCACTACATATATTGATCAAATACTAGCCACTTAAATATACATACTTGTACTCAGATAATTACAAAATTAGAAAGGACACAATCAAGGAAGTTTGTATGTAACTGTTAAAGTTAATGCAAGTACATAAAACAATGTATTTAGACTCATAAACTATTAATTATTTATTTGCTTTTATTTCAGTCTATTGCATTATATTAGTGCTTATTTGAGTGCAGTACTAGCTATTTTAATGGGCAATATTATATCAATCATCAATCCTAATCATAAGACAAATTGTACTAGAAAAGGCAAGTCTACAATTACACTTCACTTTTAATATCAATAGTAATTTAAAAATACATAATACTTTACTTGTGAAATACATTTTACTGCATTCCCAATTTAAAATTTATTGGTGTTACGTTCATTTAAATCTTATTTTTAACATTATACAATTGGTTCCAATTAGACAAGTAGGATGCAATACCAAATAGATCTAAGTTGACATAAGTACTTAATGATTATTTAATTATTGCTTTTAATGTTGTTATATAAATGACTCTATCAGTGTCTTTTACTAGAATAGTGTACTATGTAAGTATGCTTTTTCAGTCTGTCAAGTCATTCTAAGTTATTTAAACTATTTAATTAAAGGCAGTACATACATGGCCACAAGGAATTTACATTTGAGACTCTTAAAACTATGTGACATGCAAACAAGCCACTAAAACTTAGCTTCAGCAAAGGTCAACTAAACACACACTTAAAACGTTTTAGTTTAATTATTTTTTTCCTAAAATGAATAATCTCCTATAACTTTTTCTTTTTATTTGAATGTTTCCTCCTTTTTTTCCTTTTACCATCATCTGAGCTGGAGCTTGACGAGCTACTGGAGTCAGTGCTAGATGATGAACTAGATGTGCTGTCACTACTGCTAGTGCTAGAGGTTGAGTACTTTTTCTTTCTTCTTTTCAAAGATTTTTTCTTACGGTCCTCTTCACTTGATGAACTAGATTCAGTACTACTTGAAGAACTTGATTCTGTTGAAGAGTCAGATGATGTTGATTGTTTACGTTTCTTTTTCACAACTTTTTTAGTTTTGACCTTTTTAATGGTGTGTTTGCTTGAAGTTTTCAGTTTCTTCTTAGTATCTGTAGGCGTGGGAGTTCTGGCTTCAATATTCTGACCATCTTTTTTATGCTTCTTACTTTTTGTTTCTGGATCATCTTCACTTTTACGTTTTAGTTTATTGCTTTGTACATCTCTATCAATATATCTGTCATTGTACTCATGTCTACTCTTATTTTCTATCGATTTATCTGATTCTTTTTGCCTGGCTGGTGAAGCCTTTGCCCTTTGTTCACAATCATAATTACCTCTATTTTTTACATATTCATTCCTTTGTAAGTCTTGTTTGTACTCTTTAACATTTTTATCAGAACTCCTTGAAGAGTTTTTATCATTATGTTTTAATTTGTTCCTGTCATTTTCATGTCTATCAGAATCGTGTTTGTACTCTCTTGTGCTTCTTTCAGAATTTCTTGATACCCCATGATCATTATTTTTACTTGTTTCATTTCCTTTTTTATTAGATTCATGTTTATTATCTTTACTTGTTCTATTAGAACTGCGAGAGATATTATTGTCCGATGACCCATCTCTTTTTCTATCATTATTATATCTGCTAGAGTCGTTTCTATTATATTCCTTGATACTTCTGTCAGAATTTCTTGAAACATTGTTGTCATTAGTATGATTATTCCTGCCATCTCTTGATCTGTCTCGTTTAGAGCGACTTCTACTTCTCTTCCTATTTGACCTTTCCTCAGCCCTATGGTTTGATTCTCTCTCACGTCGGCTGTGTCTGTCTGATCTGTGTTCTTTTTCTTTCTCTTTCTCTCGGTCATCATGCCTTTTATTATTGCTGTGGTGTCTATCATTATTCTTATGATCATTAGCTTTGTTTCTAGAATGTGCATACTTATCATTTTTTACATTGTTTCCTTTTTCCCTTTCCTGAGCTTCATCATCATTGAAATACTTAACACCTCTTCCTTTGCCCAACCACTTCATCTTTGATACCGACTGAGAGAAATCAACATGTATTCTTCTGTCATCAATTAACACATTGTCCATTTTGAAATAAGCATCTTCACAGGATTTTTTATCATCAAATTCAATGAAAGCGTATTGTAGAGAGTCACCAGTTTTCTTATCTCTTATGACCTCACAGCTTACAATTTTACCAAATCTACTGAATATGATCTCTAAGTCATCATCAGTAGTAACTGGATTTAGTTTGCAAACAAACAGAACATTCTCAGGAGGGGCAATATCAGCATCTGGCAGGTCACCAACAATTTCTAGAATGGTTGCACGAGCCTTAGCTTCTTTTTCTTCAATCATTTCTTGTATTTCAGCTGCAGACTTGCCCTGGGTTTCATCGATTTCTTCATCTGGAGCGATTCTACCTCCCTTCAGACGCTCGGCACTTGGGGATGGTGATCTTGAAGGAGCCCTCAGTCCATGGGGATCATTAAAGGGGTCTTCAAGTACTACAGTGTGTGTAATCCGTACATCGCGGTACGGACGGTAGCCTTCATCACATATGACATCGTTCAATTTTCTCAACACATCATGCCCTTCAGTAACCTCGCCGATAACACAGTGAATACCATCTAATGAATCTAAATCAGGTGCCAATGTAAAGAAGAACTGCGATCCGATCATCATGTCTCCGGTGCCCACCATAGAGAGTAAACCTGCTCCTGTATGCCGAATCTTTGGCATTTTTTCGCCAGAAAAGAATCGCTTGTCTGGTCCTTCCAGAAGACCGAATATAGACTGTCCGCCCGAACCTTCTCCGGTAGGATCACCTGTCTGAGCTATGAAGCCACTTCTGATCGTATGGAACAGGTTGTAGTTGTAATATTTCATCTTGCACAACTTCAAAAAATTCAAACATGTTACGGGTCTTTGATCTAGATATAAATCTACCGTGATGTCACCAAGAGTAGTTTCAATCACAACAGCCATTGTATGAACAGTGAAATGTGTTTAATTATCTTCACATTTATATTGAAATGCTACAATAACAGTAAAAACGATAATCACTATTTATGCTAAAACTTTGACACATCATACGAAGAAATAAATACCTACATAACCTTACTTTGAGAAAGATTGCATATGTTGCTAGACTAAAAAAATCTTTTTTTAGGTTTCGGATTAAGGGTCAGTCACAATGCACTTTAGAAACAGTTTATTTATTAAAAAAATATAGGACTACTTTGTTTTTTATAAAAGATAACAAAGTATTGTTACAAGTTACTTGCTAGCGACCTCTTACATTAAATGAAAGTATCAACTAGAACGTAGTGTTTCGGTACTCTTTGGTCTCAACTAAATAGTCATATAATATACCTGCATAGATATTTTAGTAAGGCCATTACTCAAAAGATGGCGCTTATTTAAACTTTAAAGAGTGGAATCAAAATTAATGAAATTCAATAGTCTTAGGCTAGTCAAGGGCAATGTCTACTCATTATTATTTTAGGTGAATAATTATAATAATAGCCTATTTTTATGCTAGATGTAAAACACTATTTTTAATGCATAATTTGAGAGGAACTCAAACTAGTATAATTTGGGTTATTATTTAGGTAGGTACTGCACGTAAGACATTGTATCAATGTATCATAATAATAATTTTCAATATGGAAGTGTCGAACGCAGGCCATGCAATTCACCAATTTCCGACTCACGGTTCTAGAAAATCTAATAAAGGCAGTTTCACTCACCCTGCTTCCGCCCGCACCCCTAATAAAGTGACTATTGAAAATTTACCAACCATTCTTCCAAGAATATAAGGTTAGCCAACATGAATGACGATACCACCTAAAGCCACGTATACTGCGAACGAAATTAAACACTATTGCAATATCCTTAGGTCGGTTTTATTAAAGCAATTTATGTTAAGGTGGTTTGAAATTGTTCGAGCTTCTAGGAGCAAGGTAACGTGTCGAAATAATAAAATAAAGTGTACGCGATGGAAAATATGATATAAACAAAAGAACGTAGGTATTGTTTTTTATTTGATCCAATAGGTAAGTACCTTATTTAGGAAGTACGCCACTTAAGTAAACGATTAAGCTTTCTTATCAGCTTACCTTATAATTATTAAAGTAACGTACGCCTTATAAGTACATTAAAGTAGTTATTGAGCTATAAAAAAATCGTATTCTTTAGAACCTAATCACTATCGCATCTTTGTAGTGAAATGCTAAAATTAAAACGTCACCTTAATTATGTATAAAGCAATTTTTTTAAACACGACTTGTGATTTCCGATTTTGCGCGCGGTGTTCATAATTCGAATTGAAGTAGTGGCGCACGTACGAATAGAATAGAACCGTAAACATTTGCACTAGTGATTGCGAGTGTTGTTTGTTGTTGAGTCGGCGGAAACTGCCGTATGTGTTGGGACACCTTATAGGCAGGCCTCACGGGAACGAAATACAAATAAAACTATAACAACATTGAATTTCATCAAATAAACAGAACAAAAAAACAGGTAAACTGAAAAAAGTTTGTTGTCAAATTCGGTGCTTTTTTTTATAAAAAAAAACACTTTTTTTATAAAAAAAAGTGTTTTATTTTTAAATCAGCTAATGGCTATTTGTAATTTTTTTCGAGAGCTATGACCAGTTATTTTAGGGCCTTGGACTAGTAACCAATGCACAATAGACAGCTTAGTGGATCTGTTAGCCTATATATATACTATACTACGTTCTAGACTAACTAATCAATTGGGTAGTTTCCTAGGCCGAAAATAAAATAATTTGAACGTTTTAATACCTACAATAATATATTATATTGAAAAATGATTATACTTTCATTAATCGATCGATCAATACTTAGGTACACTAAATTTTAGATGCCTTTTTGGTATTTTTTAACAAATAAGCAATAAGAATATGTGACGTAAAAACTATGACTCATAACTCAGTACCTATTTCATACAAATACAAAATAGAAAAGTATGTATCGTTTTTGACATTTGGATAAAACTATTGAATTTGACCATAATGTAAACAATGATATTGTATGTAAAATGGTGTAGATAAGTTACCTAAACAAAATACGATTTTCAAAAATGACACACTCATGAACAATTTGTATGTTTAAACGTCAAAGTGAGATGGCATGATTCACTAATCGCGAGTGAAAAGGAGACAAATAGGAAAAAAATGTGGCTGATTAGCCACATTTTTTGGTGTATCACTTGCTGAGCGATTGTAACCTATCTACACCTTTTTACTTATAATATCATTGAGTTGGAAACTACTGTATTGGGATTGAACAAGGAGGTTTTTAAAAGTTTACAAAAAAGTTTCTATAATTTCTAATTTAAATTGAGATAATATTTGAGTTAAAAGTAAATTATAAAAAATCCTTTCTGCCTTGTATCTGAAAGAAGTAGGTACACTTTTCTCCGTTTATCGCGATATGATCTCCATGAAAAAGCAATCAAATCACAAGTGAGCGTCAAACCAAGGCTACAAATAACTGTGGATGTGTTTTTAAGGAGGCATAGGCCACGGCCGCCAGGGGTGACGCCTGTATTTCCATACAAATGTTGCATAATTTAAAAAGGACTCTGAATGCGTTGCTCGCGTTATAAAACTCGTGTTTTATACGATTCATTACGTAGAACGTCATACTAATATTATGTGCACGCGTTAAAGCGTGAAGCTTCAATGCCGTGTAATCTTAATTTCTACATAACTTTAAATCGTTATTGTTTAATTTATATTACTAGCGCACACTTTCACAATAATGCTGTCCGACCTAGGAAGTAATTGGGAGAAGCTTAGATACGTTCAGCACGTTTTAAGAGTGACATCATTTTGTGCGCCATAACTTGACATTTACCTAAATGCGACTGCGAATTTTTGTCTATGCACTCTACAAAAGATAATGCGATGTGTTCCTGACGAAGAAGTTAGTGGTCTGACATGAAAATATGATACCTAAGTAAATTGAAAGTTTTGTAGGTATAGGCTCCAATAAATTTTACTTAGACGCAGTAAAAAATCTAAGAATTTATGCGTTAGTTTGGTCCTATGACCAAACGTAGTACTTATATACCTACCTACTCACAACGTAGGTAAACACAATTTTTATGTCGATAAACAGAGGATAAGAAAAACTCTTCGGCGAAAATCCCCAGTAATCTTATAAAGCCAAAATACAAGCCAATAAATGAACATTGTGTCCGGAAGACTCCCTACTGGTAGATTTAATCTGTTTAGAGTTTGCCATAAAACGTAGCCGATAAAATAAAGTGAGGCGCGCAAAAATCTCCTTGTCTTATCGCTATCCAGCAAGATTACACATAAAAATGTTAAATGATCTTGAACGCGTATTGAAAAAATACGAGGAAATGGCGGGAGAAATTGGAAAATGGCCGCGCGCTTACACCGTGTGCGCTGTTAGATTCGACATGCGCGCTGTCTTTGGATGGTAGGTAATAAATATAATTTATTTATTATTCATCATTTTCTCGAAATTATTGATTTATTAAAAAATAATTTGATACGAATGATCACCTCCCGTGACAATGCTATGCGTTGGCAGGGATTTGGGTTTGATATCAATTAAGAGTTATATACTTATATATGTATAACAAGGTTTGTATATAAATATAAATAACCCTTAAATATAAATTTAAGGGTTGACTTAAAATGCATATTTTAAGCAAATATTTTTTAATTTTAACAAAAAACTTTAGCTTTTTGGGCTTTTGTTTTGAGGGAAATAAAAAGAATATTGAGTGCACCCTAGATAAGCGAGTGTGTTGTAGATCGGCGTTGGGGTCGCGAAGTGTTAGTGACGGCAACACGCGAACTTGTCGCCTCTCGTGAAATCTAATCTTGACGAGTAATGGCGACTATAACGCCATGTTGTTATGCTGTTCATTATAATCATAAGAAAACGGCATAGGTCAGTAGTTTTATTTTAAGTTTCTAATTAGTTTTTAAGTTATGTTATATGTTGAAGTCTGGTAGGTTGCTAGATAAAGGTAATCTGTCTATCATGAAATTTTATTATTTACCGATATCTCTAGGTCTTGATACACATAATATCTTTTTAGTGATAGCCATGAGAGAGCCATATTTGGCTGTAATGGGTCGGCTAGACCGGAGTAATATAGCGGCCGCACAGAAACCGGCGTGAAATCACGCTTAGGTAGGTTGTGTTTCGATGTGTGATCGAGTGAAATTACAGGAGGCCTTAAATCTTCCAATCTTCAAGTTTAGCTCTCAAAATGCTGGCAATACACTGGTAGCCTCCGTCGATTACTTACCATCAGGTGACCCGAAAGTACCGTGAGACGAATCATTTTACGAAATATTTAACGTTAACACATTGACATCTTATTTCTAATATTGCATAGGCAGTGGCCATACCTAGAATAATATACATTACAAAAGTAAATCAGTGTTTAGGTATTTCACTAATAAACCAGCTTTCAAATACATATATTATGAAACAAGCGTCGTATAATATTAAATATTTTAAAACATGTTATCCTCTATTTTGTAAGTGCTGAAGTGAACTTAACACTTAAATATCAATACCCAGCCCCCATGCTCACTAGTTTCGGGATAACAATATTGCGAAATCAGAAGGTGTCTACACGTGAACATAAAATATTCTTTACGATATTACCATACAGCAAAGTAATGGTATAAATAAAGAAAGTGTCGTGTCGGGGCGTTCGGTGGGCCGATTGGCTTCGATTATTGCCCCGCGGAGACTAATATCCCTTTCTTTCGCAAATGTTTTTTGGGGAATGTTATTTTTTGGCGCGTCGGTCGCAGATGGCGGGCGGGCCTCGTGAAATTGCTGGCTATTGGAGTGTCTCCGACGGCACAGTTGGGATTCTGTAAGTAGGGTCACTTACGTTAAGTAGGCTCTTAGTCGGGCACGTGTTGTCCCGTCACAGTCAGCAGGTGCGTTTCAGGACAGTTGCGCAATTGTGATTGAAATTGCTCCCGGTTTCTGGGGGTTGATTTTATTGCTTATTCAGCTGGTATTGCTCTTTTGTATTTATATATATTTCGTTTATTATTATTGGTGATCTTTGTTCCTGATTGGGTGGGTACAAGGTACAACAATTTTTAGTTTTTTTTTACTTCGTTCGTCATGATAAATATGCAGTGTTAAATCCCTCTATCTTACTACAAGTTCAGTACATTACGCGAAGAAAATTTCACATTGACTTATGGAAACTAAACAAGCAGCGTACGCAGTTTCTAATATAAGAACGGAGGCAAAAAGTAAACAAGGCACAGAGGCAGTTTCCGGCAGATATTAAAGGCATATCTCTCTATTATGAGCGGGAAGTTCTGTAATTTAAGGGCGTTCGTAGCGCCGCGGCATATGGCGGCGCCGGAAGGGTTGCGACCCCCACACACGTGTATTATATCGATGTTTTGATTTTCATGATGAATCGGTGCTGTTATTTTGAAATGTTGTTTTAACTACGATAATGATTTTTATTTTTGTATTTAATGCAAACGTAACAAGCACTTAATCATTTTGATTAATTTTAACGATGTTAGAGTGTGTGACACCTCTGCTCATAAGTAGTGTAAGTTATTATAATAATGGAGCACTTAATTAAATGCGATCGTCTAAGTAACACGTGTCGCGCCTACATTGCAACGATACTATTTAAATGATTGGAGTATATTATAATAATACATCTCCAACATTTTTCTTTTTGTGACGTATATATGTGCTTTACAACATACCACAAAAATTAGTTTGTTTGCTACGAATGTGCTACGTAAACGAAACACTGACGTAGCACTGCTACGGGCCGCACAGTACCTTACATTGGGATCAATTTCAAAAAAGATTCTTCTCAGTATTTTTCCAGTCATAATTGTGTCGTCTTTGGTATCCACGGCCTCAAAGAAAACTGGCGTTAAACAAGCACAGTTTTATTTCGCCGTGTCAGTCAGATTCATTATTTTTCTACTCCTCCCCTCCCTTATTTCCGAAACCCTAATCCCTCTGGTTGGTGTTGCGAGTTTTGTCGCGTGTTTAAGGTTACCAGAGGTTCAATCCTTTCCCTCGTCTCATCCCTCCTCAATCCTTCAAATCCCGAAACCCTTTATCATCCCGTTATACCGGTAACGCACTTGAAACTGCTCTGGTGTTGCGGGCCATGGGCGGTTCCATGGGCGGCGCTGATTGCTTACCATCACGTAATCCTCTCTAGTTTGTAAGTAAGTTTACGGCTCACCTGATGGAGATTAGACATTATAACCTAGCATTAATATAGCTGGGTCTATGAAAGGATTTTATTCAAAATAGTGATAGGTACCGTATATCAACAACATAATCACATAATGACTGCACGGTTGGTGCGGTGGCTGGGCAACTGGCTGCTGCGTGTCGCGGGTTTGATTCCCGCACGGAACAACACTTTGTGTGATCCACAAATTGTTGTTTCGGGTCTGGGTGTCATGTGTATGTGACATTGTATGTTTGTAAACGCACCCACAACGCAGGAGAATATCCCAAAAGTAGGGCAACGTTTTTAATTATAAAAAAAAATCACAGAAGCTTTCAAAATTCTCATAGACACCATCTATCGATAAGTTACTCGAAAATTCCCATCCCTATCGCAGTCGCTCGTTGCTCAGACACAGCTGACAGCTGCAGTACGGGCCGGTTCTCGATTATAACTAGCTTAGTGAAGTCGCGATACAGGCGAACGTGTGCAAAACTTTACTTGAATGCTTCATTTGTATGGCTATGCTTGAAGATATGACGCGGATGTTAATTGGACAAAGTTGTTTTATAAAAATATTTTACTCACCTTCAGAATTCAAATCGGAAAATAAAATTCAGTTTCTTATTTTATTTTTTATTAATGATACAGTAAACAGTGCCATAGTGAAAACTTTGAAACTAAGTATATTAATGCATAATTAATTTAGTAGTTACAATGAAGACGAATAAGGTACTTACATATATTATTTACAGAACATAATTTAGCTTCATGAAAGGTTTTCCTTATTTTCACATCATCACATCACATCATCAGCCCATAAGTGCCCACTGCCGAGGGAAGGCCTCTTCTCACGCAGAGAAGGATTGAGCATTAATCACCACGCTTGCTCAATGCGGGTTGGCGATTTTAAACTTATAATTAGAAATTATAAGTCCAGGTTTCCTCACGATGTTTACCGTCACCGTATGTCAGAGGTGTCTAAATAATCATAGAAAGTACATATAACTCGGAAAAAGTCACATTGGTACTTGCCAGGTTCGAACCCACGGTCTCATGCATGAGAAGCGGGCTCCTTAACCTCCGGGCCACCACGACACTTCCTTATTTTGATATAACCTAATTCTTAAATAATGCACAAATACATAAGGAAAGATGAAACATTAGAAGAAGCTTAAGAAAATTAGCGTTATAACTGCAGATTTTTATTGAATTTGAACAACATTTTTACAGGTACAGGTAACTATATTTTTGGATTAAATATTTTTGAAGAAAAATATTTTTACTATAATTTAAAATAAAATACTTATAAAGACACACGCAATAAAATAAAATGTAGACGTTATTTGCAAAACAAAACATGAACATTTGTATAACGGTATGTACGGAAACGCAAACAGCTTTAAAATTGGTTGTCAGAAAACATAATGTCGGCAAGGAGAAGGGTTGGGTTGCGTGCCCTTCGCATATTCTTGACATTTTAAATTGTTTATTTGCGAACAAGTGTCAAGTTATTTATTCAGAGACTGTTGCCGTATGTCGATTGCTACGGTATTTTCGTACTTATAGATTATTACTGAACTGTGCTACTAGCAAATATGTCGTGTTTAAAGCCATAAAGGAGATTTTTGGTTAATTGCAATAATTGCTTTTCACCCGTGTCGTGGATGCGTTAACAAATATTCAATTTGACATATTATACGAGCAGACGGATTACCTGATGGTAAGCAATCGGCGCCGCCCATATACACCAGGAGAGTTATGAATGCGATGCCGTATGGATGGGGAGAGAAAGGATTAGGCCTTCGGTAACCTTTTTTTTAGGGCGAAACAAAACGCTCTGATTGATTCACTCCTGTAAGGCCGTGGTATCTCTCCGGTTGAGCCTATCGACTAGAGTTGAAACTTCTCCCACATTTAAAAGATTAAACCTAAACTCGGAACAACAGTTTATGGACAACAGAGTTACTGTTGTTCCGTGCAGGAATCAAACCCGTGACACGGTGGACGATAGATTGTCCAGCTACGGCATCAACTCTGCAGAATAGCGCAAAATTTAATGCGGCAGCAACCTAACCCTGTGTTAATTAGATGGCTCTAAAAAAATAACCAATAAAAAGCCGGTATTATAAAAAATAATCTTTCAACGATTACCTAAAAGTCATGACGTTATAGTAGCACAGACAATGAAGCAGATCCTAGTGAACACTACACAGGCAATTTTTTGCGAATTGCTTGCCGCAGATGCTTTTTACAGCATTGTATGGCGACTGGAAGTGTCGTTAGTGCCTTAATTTTGTTTCTTCTTCTACTTTATCGAAGTTTTATTCCTCTAGTAATGTTATTGCCAAGTTTACTCTCGTTATTAGTTGAATTATTCTTATTACTGCCTTACAAGTTTACATATGGTAGAAAGTTTTTTTTTATATCAAATCTTGATTGTATTTATAGCCGAGTAGATCGATTATCAACAGCTATCATCATCCTTTAAGGAGTTATGAGTGCGTTGTCTACATTCAGTGCCTTATTTTTAAGAGAGAGAGAGAGAGAGAGAGAGAGAGAGAGAGAGAGAGAGAGAGAGAGAGAGAGAGCGGGATTGAACCTTCAGTATTATTGTATAGATGAAACGTTTATAAATCGTTTCTAGATCGCCAGAAAAGAGAGATAACTAACGTTGGGTGACAGTAGCGTTTAGAAGGTTTCAACATTACATGAGCGATGACGTGGCTTCACGTGCGGGCGACCGATAGTAAGTAAACGTAACTTTATGACGTGTACGCAAGTGTCGGGGCAACGGGCCGGCCGCAGCAGCGGTCGCGGCTAACCTGCAAATTGTCAGCGGACCGACCGCGTGATTAGCTCGCCCGTATCGCTGCCCGTTTTGTTTTGATATGCCCTACCCGCACCGCTCACACCGCTCACACCGCTCTGTGGCCACATGCCATGTAAGTTTCGGGTTAGCTACGAGCAGTTTGTGGTCGACCGCCCACTCGCAACTTCAACTAGTTCCATACCATTGTTTGTTTGGATTTCGTGTGATGACAGCCGTAAATATGATTTGATTTAATCTATTTTGTGGGTTTCAGCTACAATAGCCACGTTCATCAATAATGCTACACCACTTAATACATTGTAAGTAAATACATCTCCGGCCAATAAGCTCAGCAAAAACTTGTGATGAAATTGTTATGCGTTAGTACGTTAAAGATAAACGTCTACGTGCTCGTAGCAAGATGCTACGCATGCTACTACGTCGTAGCGAACTTCAGTCTGACATTTTTTAAAATTTACTAAACAAGTTTGAATGAAAAAATCTTTCGTAAAATTAGCACCACAATGAGCATTTGGCACATAATTTGACAATGTTTATAACACTTCATTAAAAAATAAGTTAAAACCTTTAAAAAATATTTTACTAAATTATTATTGTAGATATGATTGTTAGCGCAAAGGTACTGTTTGTAATAAAGCCAAAGACGAGCATCTCACCAACCGTTCGCCAAAAGTTATGCTACAAACTGTCAAAAGTTGCCGCGCTGGAAAATCTTCGAGCGCAGGCGTGTGAGGGTAAGAAAGAGACGTCGGTATGGGGTGTCTCGTTCTTTCTGAACGAGGTCTGCGGGTCGCGGCTAACCCTCGGCGCGAGGTTTGCGGCGGGAAAAATGTGTGTTTCGGTGTGCCGATAGCGGAGCGCCGCAGCCCCGCAGCCCCGCCCAGTGAGCCCGCGCCGCACCCGCGCCCGCTAACGCGTCTTGAGCCACTTAGTCGCTAAGACGACGCACACACTGTTCTAGAACAGCGGACTTAAAATGCCGAAACACTGTTGATATTCTCGTTTACTTTGAGGAACTTTGAGACTACGAGGGTCTTCGAATGTGTTCGTTCTTATTACACTTCAACTTATAATACAGGTCAAAAATTATTTAGGCAAGAAAATTTAAAAGAAGGAACCAGTATGACACTAAGACTAGTAACATTTCTTCTTCGTATACGTAATAATGCTAGAAACTTACGATGTTCTTCAAGTTTCTGATAGAACTTTTAACCAATCCCTGGGGAAGAAGTTGAGAAACTACACGATGAAAATATTCTTACCTAATACCTTAATGCTTTCTTAAAGGAAACCTATTATGTCAGTTAAGTACTTTTTGTGGTAAGTGTGATTCAGTTCAAGGGTTTCCTTACACTGTAGATGTTTGACGCTTGAATATATGTATTTGACTATAATTTCTTCAACTTCTGTGAACACCGTCTTAGTTTCCGGCCAGATATGGAGCCGCGAGCTGTCAAAATGGAGTGGGAAAAAAGGCGGGAATGTGGCGTCGCTTTATGTGAAGCTCGTCATTGCGCTAGACAGAGAGAGCATGCTGGAGCGCCGTGCTCGAGAATGGGACATCGAACACAACGTGGTTTATAAGAAAACCCAAGACGTTGGGCGTGTTTGGCGGGTGGGCGTGTGGGTTTTGTACGTGTACTGGTGAGCTGCGTCGGTGTGAGTGCGTGAGTACAGCCGTGTGGTTGTATTACCTCGGTAGTGTGCGTGCATCTACTGAAAGGTTGTTCTGGAAGCGCGCTCATCCTTTTGTCAACGATACGGCGCTATATCGGCTTGGTGCTTTAGTTATTAAAGTGCGCAGTTAAATTTTACGATGAAATAAAATTTCCATTGTCGGCTAGCTCGAGGGCTCTGAGGTCCTTTATGCGGCAATGTCTGACATTGGAAGCACTTTGGACCTTATGTTACCATGATTAATTTACCTCTAACATGATATTTGCAGCAGATGTTGCTTTTCAGGGAATGATTATTCAAAAAATTTAACATTTCATGATAAGTCTACTCTAGTACGAATATTAGGTAGGTATTCCTTGTCTGATATCTAAGATATTTAGAAATGTTAGAACACGACTTAAATATAATTATAGGATATACTTACTAAAATATAATTATAGGATATATTGGCGCTAAAGCTTAAGTTGGTTGTTAATTAAATGTGCTTCACAACACATTACAGAGAAATAGAGAAAGAGAAAGATAAGTTATGTAAAGTATATTATTTGTATGCCACGTTTAAGGAAGGTTCTTTAACAAAAGTATTTTACTGAGCTGTAAATAAAATGTTTAGTTGCAAGAAATCTAGAAAAAAATTACGGTTGTCTTTTTTTACTTGTTGTGAAGGAAACTCAAAGAGAAAAAAGAAAACAAACTATTAATCTTTAGTGGAGAAACAAAAGAGAATACACAATGTGTGTAAGGTACATTGGAAGGATTCCTTTGAGCCAGATTTTGCGATGCGAGGTGTGTGCGGCGGCATATGGTTCACGTGCGCTGCTTGTCCCGCACCTAACTATCTCTTTTAATACTTATTTGTAGCCGAGTCCCGACCCTCACATAGACGCGTCCCCTCGTGTCGCGTTGCAGTGTGCCGCTGTGTGGGTGGACTTCTTTCGCCGTGCCCCTGTGTGCGGGCGAATTTCTTTCGAGACGTAATAAGGGGACCGTTTCTTTCCCGCTAAGGTTTTAATGTCGACCACGTTTCGGTGGCGGACGCCCGCGCCTTTCCGCGGTTACCGGTCCAAACTTTTTTTTACATTTAGTGCGGACATTGTGTATTGTGTTTTTGTGGATTTTTCTGAGACGTCATAATTTTCTTTTCGAGGTACGATTACTTTTCTTAGTTTTCAATAAATAGTTTCAGATTAGTTTCGAAATAATTCGTTTGAATTGATAAGAAACTAAAATGACGAGATGTCTGAAATTAATTAGGAGAATGTTTGTTTAAGTCGGCAAACTTGAGTTTGTCGGCGGAGCGCTGAGAGGGCGGCGGGCGCGGCGTTCACTTGCGTGTTGTTTTCCCAAAAACCGCAGGCTCATTAGCCTCGGCGCACACTACGCCGCGGCGATTAAACTCCCGAGATAACGGCACATATTGTGATAACGTTGGGTAAACGGTTTGTTATGTATGTACAGCCTATGACTTTGATTAGATTACTTCTAGTTTTGTTTATGTTACGTTGCGGGATGATGAGACCTTTTGTTTTGGGAATAGATTTTCATTTGGAATTACAAACTTTACTTCGTATCTTAAAATAATTTTATGCTTTATTATGTTAATTTTACAGCAAACAGCTAAAGAGTTTTACGACTGTTCTTATAATTTTGTAAGTCTATTCTATACACTTGTTCGTTTGGCCCCGATCCCGTAAAAATGTATATCATAATCAGAAAATTATGTTAAAAAAGTTGAAACCTATTTATCTTTACTCCATAAAAGCCATCATAACACCGAGCAACATGAGCAACTTGCAACTTAATTCCAAACTATTACAAAGTAACACTTTAGAGGAGCAATTCGCGGCAATTTATATTTTTGCGGGTCCGCATCGTAATACAATTATGTCCCATTTAGTCGGCGTCGGTAGCGGAAACTTGTTAAAAAGTAAGCGCGAACTCCCATTAGAGCGGTTGTTGCGATCCCTAAAGTTTCACCTGTAATTGTTGGGTGACGACTCCACGGATGGCCCTGTGCTACACGCTCGTTAACTCACACTCAATAATTGTACGTATGTGAAGCGCATTATGGGCCAATATAGTAGATACGTTCTCATCTAATGAGCAATTTTTAAATAGAACTTTTCTACGGTTCCTATTTTTTTTGTACAGACTGTTTCGCAAATATTTTCAGTGCTACTACTTTTTAAAATAAATACCTACTACAATCGATAATAATTATTGCAACTTAGTAAAAATAAAAAAAATGAACTTTTATGGATTATTGGGATCGCAGATTGTATTAAAGGAAATGTAATCAGTAGAGTACATTGCCAAATTAAGGACAAAAAATATTTTAAACCAGGATTGGTTATTATGACGTTCTTAGTGAGCACCCTTTAACAGATTTTTTTGTACTTTGATAGATGTGTGTATGGCAATTGCGGCCGACGGTTTTTTTTTTAAGAACACGTTGCGTTGTTTTTCAATCTCAGATCTCTCATCTGTCACTCATCCTAAAAATTGCAACGACAAGCTTAGTTAATAAAATAGTACTTTATAACAAATAATAGTCATTTCATATTGTCTAAATCATTCCTATCAATGTTTATAAAATCTCCTACTAAAACATGGTTAAAACTTTAAAAAATATTCGAGCTAACAAAGCTGAAAAATGATTGTTTTTCATTATTTATTATTTGCTTAAACTATATTAAGCATCTGTTTTTTAAAGTTTTGTTTATAATCCAAGCAAGCCGATGTTATTTTATGGTAAAATATGATTTTACAAAGTTAGCTTAATTAACATTGTTCTTTTAAAAATTAAAGATTCCGACGAATTGCGAACCTCTTCCTTTTTTTCAAGTCCGTTAAAAAGAGTCTAATTGTCCACCACTTACGATCTTCAAACTTTCATCAGGTAATCCATCTGCTTGTTTGCCTCCTATTCCATAAAAAAGTTAGATTAATATATATATTTAGACTAGTTTGTGTCTATGAATGACAATATTAATTATCTATGCCTGATTACTAATCGCCTAAATGGTCCGATGATAGTCGCTATGAATTCTGTAGCCCTTCAGGAATTAGCGGCGTGAATTAATTATTGAAATATATGCGAGTGCGAATACTGCGATACTGACGGTTCCATTTGACTGACAGCTTATTTCATCTACATTCAGTAAGAATTATAATGTTTATATGAAATCCGCCATATTGTGCAGCTTCGAATGACATGATATGATATCACGGTTTTTTCAAGTATAAACAAATTGAAATCATAACGATTTCTATCTTTTTATGTAATAAAATACTAAATAAGTACTTCTATTTTTTCTCTAGGCTGTTATTAAGTACATGATATTCAACTTAATTCTTTACCTCTTTTCTCTAGTCTAAAGTTTATATCATAAATACTAAAACAAAAAATTAAATTATTCTCATTAACGTTACGAATTTAAACAAATTATCGATTAATCATAAATAATAAATTGAACGTCAATATTCGAGGAGGCTGTATCAAATAATTCCTTTGTACATTCATCGGGTGGGGTTGGCGGCATTGTTCGCGGGCTTCGACTTGTTGTTTGTGCGACCTTTGAATTTGGAACACGGAACGTTTTGAATTTTGCACGATCTTACCGCCCTCGCTGCATGTAGTGACATCGTCTTCGAAGGGAGGCACGTGTCAATAACGGAATTATCGGGACGATAAATAATTTTTTGTTTATTTTACCTGTAGGTAAGTTTGTTTTCCGAATAAATTGTACGCAAATTAGTATGCAAAAAAAAGAAACTTAAGGCCACAAATAGATTTTGCTTACAATCAAAGGTAAATGTGTCATGTATTGAAAAAGAAAACGAAAAATATAAAAAATGGAGTGCCATAAAAACATCTGCCTTATGTATGTATGATGTATGTATGTTACTCTTACACGTAAAAACTACTGAACTGATCTGAATGTATTTTGGCACGAAGATAGATTTTAGTATGAAATAACGTTTAAACTACTTTTTTCCTTGATGCTGTAGGTAAACGAAACCGACGGCAGAAGCTAATATATCCTTTAAAACCGTCACGCAATGTTGACATCTTAAATGTATTCTAATTAATTATTAAAACGTGAGTGTGCGTACAGTCGATCCGTTCCGTAATTATAATGTTTTATTCACTGATTTATTCTAAGGCGGTGCGAAGAATCTTATCTTATTGGTTAAAATTACAGTCAGAATACAAAATTTCTAGAATAAAAAAAAATATCATTATTGATATAAATATGATGAGAAATAAATATGATGCTGTCGCGTCAGAATGTTTGAATAAGACAGTGACAGTAACAATTTAATTCCTCATTTACTTGACTATTGAAAAATCAGCCTTAGACCATATTATACAAGTACCTTTCGAAACGTCAAAATAGAATATTGGTCGGTAAAGCTACATAGATGCTCGTTCCAAAGTGTTGATTTAAATTTAGAAGAACGAGCAAGGAACTGCAAAAAATATCAAGTTTTGACTCCGTTATAAAGTAGACTAGCTAGTCCCGCTCGGTTTCACTAGCTGCTTGGCTCCATTTGCTTGTAGCGTGATGTTTAATAGTCTACAGCACTCGGGAACATTGTAGCTATCAATAAGTGAAAGAATTTTGGGAATCCGACGAGTGGTTCCAAAGATTACCCCCTACATACAAACTTAAAAAATTTACCTCTTTATAATATTAGTATAGGTTAGATATGAATATTAATCTAGCTCCTTGATTTTTATTACCTAAACATGATATTCTTTAGAGACCTGTTGACCCCACAGTTGAACCTAGTAGGCTAAATTTTCAGCAAAATTTTCTTGGGCTTAGCTTAAAATATCACATCATCATTATTCTATAAGTGCCCAGTGTTGACCAAAGTCCTTTTTCTCTCGGAGAATGTTTGAGCATTTATCACCACGATTGCTCAAGGCAGATTGGCGATTTCCAAAATTGAAATATAAGTCAAGGTTTCCTTACAATGTTTTCCTGCACCGTATATCAGTGATGTCTAAATAATCATACAAAGTAATATATAACTCGGAAAAAGTCACATTGGTACTAGAAACGGCCGACGCCGTGAACCTCCGGGTCACCACGACCATAGCTTAAAATTAACTTACCTTTATGTTATGAAAATAAATAAACATTTACATCTAAAAAAACATATAAAAAGAATAGTCAAAGTATTTGTAAACGGAAGCCTTGCAACCCCAGTGCGGGTGTGTTTTAATAAATGACGTCACATCACCCCGTCACATTCTTCGCGATTCTTATTTAACTACTTGATTGTACTCCGTTGTTTATTGTCACCAATATTGCAATGGGGAACCTTTTATTTTGTGTTTAAAGTATTTTTATAGCTTTAAAAGTTTTTATATCGGTTTAAATTGCGCGGTAGTAGATAAGGATAGTGGAATATAATTTGAATTACGAACGCATATTTTAAAAACCGTTCCAATTCTTTTCTTATTTTTTTTTTATTTTTGGTTTAGTATTTTATTTGTTATTTTAAATCAGATTTCACTGCAGTTCTATTACGATATCCTTCTTCTCAGAAATTGTGTAGGAGTCGTATTATAGGCACCAAACAATACTACAGATGGGGTCCAACAGGGCTGGCCTCCATCCGAGGTTGCAGGTGCAAGCGCTTATCACTGACCCTCTCCCTCTATGTGATAGGACGGTAAACGCTCGACTTTTGGTAACAATTAGCGCCGCCTATGGACATCAGCAGCAGCGGAGGAATTACGAATGCGTTTGCATTTTGGGTATGAGGGATTTTGTCATTTAGGGATTGGAGAGGGATCGCGCTTTCAAATTAATGGACAAAACAACCATTTTCATGCAATACTAAATACTAAACAAGATATTTTTTCACGTCAGTAATCGAAACTCCAAGAAACCTAAATCAGTTTCACATAAATTCAGGACACGTCACAAAACGCGTGCCGACTTTAAAATCAGGAAGTCCGTCACCGTCTTACAGCTTGGGCTTTCCGTTCATTTGAATATCTGAGCCTTGAGGGTTCGGACACCGTCGGATATTACATTTGCTAACCCATTTGTACCCGTCGCTGGTCGTACGACGATCATTATCCATGTCCGACCGTCCTCCAGGGACCACCCTCAGGAATTTGTGTCCCCGCTGTCCTATTGATTCCCTTCACATTCGCTCCTCTTTAAAATTGGGCTGATAATAGATGTTATTGGAACTCGGAGGGCTTGACGCCTTTTATTACACGCACAGATGCTGCGCCATTATTGAGATTTCTGAAAATAACGCTCCAGTTCATAGGCGCCTACGGTACCCACTGAAAGTAATTTTGAAATATGTGTATTGTGTTTTTGAGTATACACCAGTATCTTGTCCCAGCAGTATTTTAAAATTAAGTTCATACATTTAATTTCCTAATCAATAGTAATATTTTTAACAAAAACAAAATTTTAGTCGAATTTACTTAAACAACTCATTCATCATAGCGATAAAAAGAAAATGGAAGTTGAATAAAATTCAAAATTCGAAAACCGAACACAGGCGTACCAACTTAATCATGGTCCCAAAACAGTATTTTATAAAACAAAAACGTTTTCAAGTCCATCGGCGCGTAAGGTTTTTATTAAAAATATTGTCCGAATGCTAACGGACGCAGTGAAACAGAAACGGCTGGTGTAATGTATCTTTGCCCCATTCGGGTTCCTTTGTGAAGGGCATGGGTAACGAGCATTATCCACTTGTAGGGAACCCCTACACGATCCTACATGCTTTATTATTTACGAGCTTTACCCTTTATGTATGTTTTTACGCTAAGATTTTATTGCGAAGCTATTCATGAGCCAAATCCGGTGCGGAACCAAAACTGGGAGTGAACTTTGATTGTTCATATTCCGTGTTATACTTTCATTAGGTAAATGCAGACACTCTTTGGTATTGATAAAGTTAGAGGATTTTTTGTAACTTTTATAATTTCTAGGTTTATTATTCGACACCTTGGCTGGATGTCAATACACACTACTACTTCTTAACAATTAGACTCACTGGCGATAGTTTCTTAAATTACTCTTAACAATTTATGTCATGTGTAATAATACTCTCACATCAAAATTAATTATAATGACAGTCATCCCTTATTTGGCTTGTTCATCACTGCCATTAGATCAGTCTATAGCACTTTTACGAGTTTGAATCAAAGTGAATTTGTTAACAGACAGTAAAAGGCGTGTTGTTGACTCACCCCTAACCCGAATTAAGTTTAACATCCCAATCGACATATCGTGTTTCGCGAACGTATAACAGACTATTTGTACGCCTAGGGGATGTAGGGGCCAACGCTCTCAGTATTATTGTCAGCTATCAACCAGCCCAACTGTGAATGGGTTTGAAATTAGAACTTTTGCTGTTAGGTTGTTGACGTACAGGTGGACTATTTTTTTTATTTAATTGTAAGATTGATGTGTTTTGAAGTTAATAGCTGAAATTAGTAAAAAGATTTTAATTCGATAAATAACAATTATTATTTTAGTACCTAATAATAATTCATATTCAGTTATATGTTCAACAAAACTATACGTTTTTTTAGGAGTTAGTATGACTTAAAATTCTTGATTCGTTCTTCTTTCGAATCTGGTTTCTGTTAATCCGAAGAATTTTTTTTGGTTTATTACCTATATAAGACAATTCGTTGGAATCTCTTAAAACCAAATAATAAACGGGCTGTGTTGCTCTGAAATATCAAAGATTTTTTATTTAATATAATATTTAAATTTTAACAATAAATACAAAATAATACTTAAACTAAATCCTACCAGAAATATCAAAGAAACGACATTTAAAGTTTATTAACAGGTTTGTCGATTCCTCTTTTACTTAATTACATATTATTATAATATTTAAACATCCTCTGCTCTCAGAATACAGAACAAACTGCTTTAAGAGTAATGACACTGACAATTATAATGTCAGTGGCGCCATCTATACATAACCAAGTGTAAACTTGAACTGTTTTAAATACACACCATGGACTACACACAAATACTTTAAAGAAATTTAATTTCTTTATACCTGTATAGCCTAATCTTGATAAGTCAACAGATAACAACACAACAAGCCAAAGCCTCATTTTAAATTTCCTCCATAATATAATATCACGGAGTCAATATTAGCAAAGTACAAAGTCGTATGTTACAAAAATACTAATATTTTATTCTGTACGCTTCATTTGCGACCCTACCCCGCCTGTCCCTGATTGTGCGTGCTTTTGCCACGCGGAAGTCACTTTGATGCTTCACACACCATTGTCAATAAGTAACCTGAACAAAGTTCAAAGGTTTTGCCTCGGATTCGCTCTAGCAGATCGTGATTTCATGTCAGTTTGAGTGTATTACAAATTGACAATAACTAGGCCTCTTATAACTTTACGAACTTATGCCTATGTCAGGAATATTCCAGTGTAATTTTTTTTGTTAGATGTATTGGAACTATTTTATTCGACACGTGTATATCAGTTGCTCAAAGTTTTCAAAAATAGAAAACCAGAAATAATTCTCTGACCTATGATCTAGTAAAATCTATATTTCAAGGGCCTATGTTTACGCCTAAGATGTGTATTCTTATTTCATATGCACACAACCATTCTACCAACCAGCGGTGTGGCTGACATCGACATACACCTTTTTCAAGTGGCTTATTGTTGCTGCTTATAAACATGAACGTTTTTCATTACAGATACAACTTGCCATCATGTCACCACAGTTCTCCTCAAGACATTTGCATCGGATGTTGGTTACTCTAATCTCCAATCAGCCCGAGTCTGCCGAAGTCATGTGACGGTTGTGAACTCTTAAAAAACTTTAATGACGTAATGTTTAAGTGTGTATAAGTGGACTAAGATTGGGACGATGCATTTATCGAGTGAAGTGAGTTCGACGACGAATGGACTGGGCCATGAAGCGCCTTCGTCGAGTTATGGCAGTTCGCTGCCGAGTCAGCCGCTGACGGCAGAGTTGCTAGCTGAAAGGACCTTGGAAGGTCTTTTAGCTGATCATCCTGGAGAGTTGGTGAAGACTGGTTGCCCACACGTGGTAAGGAGCTTTGATAACTATTTTGTGGTAAAGTGTACATATTTTTACGTTACTTTAACTTAAGAAGACAAGCAATACAGTTTACTTTTTAGTACAGTATCTTCGGTTTTTTTTAATTGCCGCTGTTACAACATCTGGAAACATTTTAAAATTTTTACTTCGTTAAAATTTTTCTTTTGTCATCAATTATAGATACATCTTTATCATCTTTTTCTAGGTGTGCACAGTCCTTCCTCCACATTGGCGATCAAACAAAACCTTACCCGTGGCATTCAAGGTGGTAGCTTTAGGAGAAGTAGGGGACGGCACCCTGGTCACTGTCAGAGCTGGTAATGACGAGAACTGTTCTGCCGAGTTGAGGAACTGCACGGCAGTGATGAAAAACCAAGTTGCCAAGTTCAATGACCTCAGATTTGTTGGAAGAAGTGGGAGAGGTGAGTTTTTGATACCATATTTTTATTAAGTGCTATTTACCTATGTGATTAAGGTAGCGTGCCTCGCTGGTTTAGTAATTTTTTTACTGGGAATTATTAATTTAATAACAGTCCTCTCGTATCGTTCGTTATTTTGTATTTTCTTATTTGTGTAATCCGTGATGGATTACTGTTTGATAGCAATCATAGAAAAAGACGATTTGTAGTGACGAAAATAAAAAATAAGGTGAATATAAATGAATGTGTTGGATAAACGATAAGTCTGCCTGACTCTGACTGTTATCATTATGAATATGAAAGTTTCAATCTTGGTTGTTATCTTCAAATCAAGATATTAGCTAATACCGAATAACTTCCGCCGTGTTATTAATTTAAGAGGTTATCGGATCTTTAAACGTACCCACTGAACCTGTTTAAAGATTTATGGCATAGATTTTCGTAGAGGGCCTTAACAGATCAATTACCCCCATTGACTTAATATTCCAACAAAGCGAAGACCTGTTGAAATATTCAGAAGGCAAGGCGCCCCGAGCTTTGTTTTTGAGTGCTCACCCACGGGAGAGGGGGATTTTTTATGAGTAGATGTCTGCATTATCGTAAACATTCATATATGCTTACAATTTTATAGCTTCATAGCTAGAAACGTGAATTTTTTATAGATATTTTTTTTATTGGTTTAGAATTCTAATTTCGTAGCTAGCTGATTTAAATGGCACTCTGAAATGAAAATGACACCAAATGGTGTTTTCCTTGGTCTAGGTCAAATTCGTTCATTATTCAAAAATCATTCTTATTTTTGCTACAATTTTATTTAGTTAGCAAGCTTGTAATTTTATAATAAGGTATTCGTTCTTTATGAAAGCAAATAATGAACATTGTAAATTGTTATTTCGAAATAAAAAACAGTGAATGTGTTCCAAAGACGTTGTAAGTATAGGTTACGTCTACTACTTACATAGTCTTTAGTTTTAAAAGAAATAATGGAACACGGTCACTCTTTTTTATTTCGAAGTAATAGTAGTATTAGTAATGTACAAAGTTCAAAGTATTCTATATATATACATTGTGTAGTGGGTGCTAAAGTAATTGCGCGGTCAACCGCCTTTGCGTAGTCGCGACGTCGACACTTGTGGTGATTCTGTGAGCGATAGTGGCCGATTAGACTTGCCTACTGGTAAACTCTAGGGTTGAACTTAAGTTAAACGACTTCTTACTTATAGTTGATAGTCTAAAGTCTTGGCTTCAGGCATAGGGTTGAAGAATACGGCTTTTTAAACTTGTTACACAATACTATGTTCTCATATAACCCTGCATTTATAAAGATACAATTTCATATGTACTACAACGAGACCCGAAAAAAATAATTTATGGATCGCACCAAAAAGTTTTTCCGTGATTTAATCGATCCGGCGATACATTGTACAGCCGCTGCCTGGTTGTGACGATTAGTCACCGTAAGCGCAGATCTGCGGAAAGCAAGCAAGGGCGTAGCGTTACGCATGCGCCTCAAAGATACAATAAACCATCATAGATGGATCCCAACAGGGTTGATGTTCAGTATGCTGGGCAATTATGTGCAGTCGCCTCGGCCTGGAAAAGTAGAAGGAATGAAGTAATTTTCAGTCCCTCAAAAAAAGTATGAATCCCAGCCACTGCGCCAACTGTAGTAATTTCCTAAAACGTTACTCTGAACTAAGAAAAATTACCAAAACAAACGTCAATAGTTTTAATTTCTAAGCAATCTTAACGTTATGTTTATGATCCACTTACTTATTGGTTCAGGATTTTGAAGAATTCAATTTATAACCGAGTTCCTCAAGATTGCATTCCGTTGCAGATTCCGTCATTCCTATAGATTATGGTAGTGTTTTTTTTAGTGTTTTCGTTGAACCTAGTAAAACGGAAGTAATTACGTTATTACCTAGTATTTTAGTATATAAATATAGGTATTATTCTAAAGTTATGTTATAAGTACTCTACCGTTTAGGTAGTATTAGTAAATCCCACTTAACGTCTCGCGTGGCCTAGTATTGTACCTAAATAGTTGTCCCTTAATGTATCAAGTTTTGCGATTAAGTATTTTGTACTTAACCGTTTTGCACGCACTTATACCACTTCCCATTTGCGGATCTTTTTACAGTTAAAACTGATACTCTTTTGTTTTAACCTTAAAAGCACGCGATTGGAGATACCTTATTGTTTTTAGTATGTAGTAATGTAATGGGATTAGTGCAAAGATAAGATAAGAATATTTTAGATGTTTTTGTGGTTCTTGTTACATTAATGTAAAAGAAATAATTGGGCAGTATCAAACTACTCAAACTCAATGTTTTGTGTTGTTAAATGTTAAAACCGACACTTCTATAAATTTTTTATAACGCACTTTGTGACGACAAATTGCACATTTAATTTCTCTCTAACTTTAAAAAAAAGACCATGAATATTAAATCTGCCGTAATATTAGTGAATGAAAGAATGTTTAATATTTTTTCAAATTCACATAATTTCCTTTTCACTGAGAAAACTACTTAGTTTGTCACGAGTGAAATAATAGGGAAAGCTGGCGAAACTAGGAAAATAATACACCTACCTATCACTCAGTATCTTGTTACATTATTCAAATTCCACAAGCATCAACGTAACTGAAACCAGAATTAACGTAAACACGGGATCGATGAAAATGAACAACGGTGCGGAAACGAACTTTAACTTAGGGTAGCAAACAAGAGCATACGAACTGTAAACTTGTCGCGTCTCATATTCAAATAGTGGAGGGAACTAACGAGGTAAGGGAGGGGGAGGGTTGGCAAGAAGCTGGGAAGAAAATATTACGGAATATGTCACGCGTGTCAGCGCCGTGTCGATGACGGATATACAAGCAAGTACAAGGTAAACTGTTTGTTTTTGTATAACCATGTTAACATATTGTTCACGGTGTACACGTACTCGTAGTAATATTGAGTCTGGAGATTTGCTTATTTATAAAACAAGATACTTACTTAATCACTTTATTGTCATTCGTAAAATGTCAAATCCTAAGCTATTTGTAGAGACCCTAATTTCCCCCGCGAAGTTGATAGACGCGTGAAACATTAAAGTGGATTTCAGTCCGTATTGTACAAATATAACGTTCATTAAAAATTCCTTAAACAAACAAAAGCTTTCGGCTAGCGTGTACACGAAAAAAACCAATATAGCCCAGAGCGGCGGGAAAGTGGAAAAGAAGTTAAGAGGTGTCTATTTGTCACGTTTCTTCTTGAATAACGCTCTGCTTTCCAATTAAGGGTAAGCGCTCTCTTTGTTTATCTTAAATTGCGAGAAAATCTCACTCAAATTATCGGGTAAAAAAGACAAAGGGGGGATCGCTGCGGAACATAACTTTTGCTTCGTTCCGGGATAAAAAGTTGCGTATCTAACGCCGAGGGACGGGGCGCGGGGAATTTTTAATAAGCGAAAAATTTAATGAGGACCCCCCGACCACTTTTTTGCCACGGTTCGCCGTGTCAGCTAGCCCGACGGACCGCCTTTATACTTCGTATTGGCCAAGAATTATTAATTACTTGTAAGATCTTTTTCTTTGTTTGCAAATTAGGTTGATGCTTGTGTAATATTGAATTACTTAATAAGGAATACGATGATGTAGGATAAAGGTAACTAAGAACAGGTATTTTTTTATTATCACTTTGAGATTGATTACGGAACCAGGCCCACTTAAAAATATCTATATCTAATAATTCATTATGTAATGAAAGTAGGTATACTTTCAAATATAGAATAGCTATACAACTTCCACTGTTGGCCGATTTAAATTTAACCTTACCTTATTATACCCTCGAGTGGTGTAGTAAGAGGCCAATTTACCGCACCAGTAGTCAAGGAGCGCCATCTGTTAATCGATTGATTGACCCCCACCTTACAGCTAGATACAATAAAAAGTACGCCCCTACTCTCATTTGTGCACGATCTCCTACGCAGTCTCCATAATTGCCTTTTTATATTGTACTTTAAGATTTTGGATGAAACCTTACTTAGGTACATGGATACTTACCGGTGTAAAAATATACATACATAGGTATATAAAGATTAAAAAAAAAACACGTGAAGGTTGAAGTTAGAACAGTAATTAGCGTAATCGTAGTAATTCGAGACACAATAGAATAGCAATATGTGCGCGAGCGCCAGCGTTCGCTTGGGGTTTGATGAATTATATTATAGTTACCAAGCAACGCTGGCCAACTGGCTGGCGTGTAACTTGTCGCGGGTTCGATTTCCAGCACGGACTAACTCTATGTGTGATCTATAAATTGTTGTTCCGGGTCTAGGTGTGATGTGCATGGGAAATTGTATGTTTGTAACCGCACTCGCGGCTCACGACTCAGGAGAAAATCCTAGTGTGAAAAAATTTGTTTACCCTATTTTTTAATATCCGATGAAAAAGTTATTGTACTTATTATTGTTTAGTTAAATCAGCATTAACATTTCAAGTATCTTTGTCTGACAATGACGAGTTAACAAAGGTTCGTAGCGTCGTTTGAGCTGGTAAACTCTTGTAACAAAGGTCTGTAGTTAACCAAACATCGTCGGTACAACACAATGCCCTCTCACGGCTGCAGACTTCACCCTATCCGCACCTTCCCTTAAGGAAAATTATTTTTGTATAGAGAGCGAAAAATTTCTCGACCTCACCTTCGTTATTAACCCGAGACCCTCCTTTGATGCACTGCCCCTTACCACCTAATGATTTGTATCCCACTCTGTTATTTTGAAATCCTTACACACTATGTTATGGGATGATTGTACATGTAAATTAGCGTCGAGGGTATGTTATTTGAATACCGAAGGTTTAATATTGTAAGTGGTTTTGTAAAGAGTTTGTTTATAGCGATTTCTGTCTTACTATCAGAGATCCTTTCTTCTTAAAAAATTCACGAGAATATTAGATGATTAGGTATATTATATTTTTGCAGGCTAATATCTCTATGTAATTTTCGACATCGATAAATACTATCAGCGCTTAAGAAGAGCATCCATTTTAATTTTTATTAATTTAAAAGAGCATCTTAGGGTGAGTGCAAAAAATTCATAAGCGAAATTGAGACGGTCGTGTAAGGGAGATGGAGATAGGTATCTCTTTAAACTAAAGTAGGACAGCGCAAGTTTCTTTTCATTTTAGTCGGTCTTTTTGGAGTTGTTCTCTTTCCGTTTTTAATTATTGAACCACTCATTCCTAATTATTGTTATTAGCGTTGGGGAGAGTGGTGAAAATTGAGGGTCTCGTCTCGCAATATTGACCGCTCGGCTCGTTCGGTGGATGCTTCCTGGGGGACTGTTTTTAATTGTGCACGCTTTTGACTTTTCCTCTTGTTCTTTTGAGACGCCTCAATAAACTTGGATTTTACGGTGTCTCGCTTGTATTAGTTATTTTATTGGTTGGGGAAGAAGTTTTATATTGCTTCCGTGATATAATTCAACATACGTAGCTGCTGATTCCGCATTGTTTAGATATTTATAGCCACGTGTCAGATGTATATGTAGGTACGTACATATATACAGCGACATGTGTATGTGGTAGTCAATTCGCT